CTTGAGAACGGTGTTGATCATTACTGACACTGGATCTAGTGTAACCACAAAGGCAGGCATTCATGGGATGGTTCATTGAGCTTTAAGTGTACCCGTCTGACAAGATTGTAACCATTGATTTCAAACCCTGGCTTTAACCCTGGTATCTGAATTTGATACCTTGTCACAAACAGACAGGATTTGGAATATATGCAGTCACGTTAGTCCAGAACTCGTTAATCCGGAACACCCTATATTCCGGACATTTGGTTCTATAGGGACCTCTATTTGTATGAAATGACACAACGCCGAAACAGTGATTCGTTAATCCCTAACACCCTCGATTCCGGACACTTGCTTCTCTAGGGACCCTACATGTATGAAATAACACAACGCCGAAACAGTGATTCGTTAATCCGGAACACCCCGTATTACGGACACATTTCTCTAGGGACCCTACTTGTATGAAATAACACAACGCCGAAACAGTGATTCGTTCATCCGGAACACCCCGTATTCCAGACATTTGGTTCTAGGGACCTCTAATCCGGAATGATGAGAATCTTTTCGGGTCATGTGACCTGCATAATTTACGAAATTAGCAAGGACTGGGTATTCTCCTATGATGCGAAGAAACTGAGGAAGCAGCTGAAGAAATAAGCAAAGCAACTATTGTCATGGAATAGTTACAAAATATGTCTTTCCATAATCAATTTCGGATTCTGTGTTTCAATGTTAGCCACGTTATAAACAGAAACAAATGTGCTTGTCGGAAAATAAATACAGTGCGATTTATAAAAAAAACTAATATCGATAAAGTTGTTAATTATTTTCCAGGTGTGTGTATATAAAAGGACATTATCCATCATTCGTTAATCCGGAAAATGTGTTCATCCGGGTTTTGTCCTGATTAAAGACGTCTTATAGTATATATCACGTGCAATTTCTAATTTCACACCCAGCAATGACATAAATGATTTTTTTTTCAAAACCAGAAGTGTCGCAGTATGACATGAAGCATGCACATACTGTAACTTGTCACACAACGGATCTATGTGGATTCGAACTCGGAAAACTTTATACACACACCAACACAATGACGTCTGGTCTCGGTAACCGCCTCGACATATATTATGTCGTCCAAAATCGCTTGACTTAATGACGCAGAACCGTCACTTCCTGGTTGACAATGGTCATGTCAGCAGTGAATGCATTATTAACCGTTCATGGACCTGTTAACGAGCCAGGAGAAATCCATCTCTCGACAAGCCATATTTAGTTCAAAAGGAACTTCAAGATATTGTAAAGTTTTTGTGGGTTTATTTAATGGGCATTCCTGTGTGTAAGAGCTCAACACTGGGAATATACGACCCGTGAAAATCCCGAATAAGAATTGGTCTTCAGCAACTCATGCTTGTCATAAGAGGCGACTAACGGGACGGGGTGGCCATGCTCGCTGACTTGATGCATATCATCGTGTCCCGAATGCCAAGATCGATGCTCATGATTGTCTGGTCCGGACTCGATTAATTACATAGCCCCGTCATAGCAGGAATATTACTGAGTTCAGCGTTAAAGAACAAACAAACATTGGGAATATAATTATAAGAGGAAGAGGGATGTACTTGTGTTTTAATTGCACTGAGGGTTAAACAAGATGCTTGAATAATAAACTGTCGAGCAAAAAAAAGTATACACTTGAAATATGGATTTGACCCAAACATTACAAACATTATAAGGCTGAAAACAGTCGCCGAAACACTGCAAAGTTCAAAGTCGTTACTCCTACTTCATTCAGAGCGTCATTATCCCCAACTCACTCACTCAAAGCATCGTTATCCCCCAAGTCACTCACTCAAAGCATCGTTACCCCCAACTCATGCACTCAAAGCGTCGTTACCCCTAACTCATGCACTCAAAGCGTCGTTACCCCTAACTCACTCAATGCATCGTTACCCCCCAAGTCACTCACTCAAAGAATGGTTACCCCCAACTCATGCACTCAAAGCGTCGTTACCCCTAACTAACTCAATGCATCGTTACCCCCAAGTCACTCTCTCAAAGAGTCGTTACTCCGAATTCACTCAAAGCGTCGTTACCCACAACTCACTCGAAGCGTCGGTACTCCTAACTCACTCAAAGCATCGTTACCCCCCAAGTCACTCACTCAAAGCGTCGTTACTCCGAACTCACTCAAAGCGACGTGACCCCCAACTCACTTATTAGTCATTAATGTATGATAAGGTATTGCCATTTAAAGTCCCATTGGGATAATAAAGATGTATCTTATCATGGATGACACAAAGCAATTCAACAATTCCTACAATCATATAACTTTTGACAACACTTAAAAACCGCCTCCGTAGTTTAGTGGATACAGCGTCAGTCTGGTGAGTGGAATGTAGCTGGTACGATACCGGGGACCCCCACTTTTTCATAAAAAGTACTTGTGTGAACCTATCGAGTTTCGGGTTTACTTCGTGATTTGGGGAAAGTAGGTACCTGTGTGATATACACGAGTACATCCGTGGTCAAACCTACACCCACAAGCAGGAACACCACTGATCTTATATACGATATCTGACCACGCCATACCCGTAGGCAGTGGTTGGAATCCCAGGGGCCATGTACTAAGTGTTGCTGGTTTGGCGTCAATTTCAGAGATTAGCGACTGTGTCAATTTCAGAGATTAGCGAGACATTCGGGACATCCGTGTAACCACTCAGCTGATAACGAGGCTGATACGGACTTGGTGTTGCAATCCGGGTCAGCACCAGTTGAAAACCAGCATTGCAAAATATTGATATCAACAAACACCAAATGCACTGTAGGTACGATGCAAGATATGACATGACCGAGTCAAGGGTGCGTTTGTTTGTTTGTTCTTGTTCTGTCGCCGCACCACTCAACAATATTCCAGCTATATGACGGGGGTCCGTAAATAAACGAGTCTTGATCAACTAAACTATAATGTTGATATTGTTAGCAACGTCCTGCGTCGTCGAGCAATACAGATTTTGGGGGAAGATAAATAAATGCTTGAAAGAATTAGCGATAAAATGAATGATTGAAAGAGTGGGTGACTGAATGAATAAAAGAATTGAACCAAATAAATAGATGAAAGAATGGTTGAATTTTTAATGAAAGAATTCCTGAATAAATGATTGAATGAATAAATAAATGATTAAAAGCAGATAAATGCATACCAACAATGAATGAGGAATTTACGAAAATAGTGTTAAACTAATCAACGGAAGAGAGAGAAGCATTCGTATAATTCCCATAAGGCGGCCTAGAAGATATGGACGAGAAACTGTCGACAAAGCATCGTTACGTGTTCATTCTGAAAAAAAGGCAACAAAGTACCATATGACTGAGCAACTATCAACACTTATCATAATCTAAATAACCAGGTCGGGACATATCATATTACAGTATATTTGGGTTCAGCCTCGTTTCCCACCGCAGTCAGCATAACAAAATTAACCTATCACGATGGCATTTAAATAATCGAAGTTTTAAAAAACAGTAATTGCTCATTGTATTAGCTGCACGAGCAACGATCCACGCCATGGGGCATCTGTACGATCCACGCCGCGGGGGATGTTGACACGATTCGACATACCTGTTATGCAAGTACAACCAATGACCATCCTCGGTAAACCAGTGTATAATATACCACGCATCAATTATGATACTAATGGATGCAAAGGTACTGCTCCGCAAGAAACAGTTCAACATGAGGAATGTCAGTGATCTGTCAAACTAACACTTATAATTTATATATTTCTGACTATCTCGGTTAATATTCTGCTAAATTTAAAAAAACAAATCGGTGTGTGTGTGTGGGGGGGGGGGGGGGGGGGGGTTAGGGTGTATACGTAAAGTATTTTTGCTCAAGAAGCAATAACTTTACTCAAAGCCTGCTATAAATGTCATCCATACGTGGCATACAGCTGTATATAGTGTTGTCATTTTAGTACGTGTGTGTTGTGCTCGACCTGGTATTAACACATGGGTGTGGCCTTTAAGAATTATTTATGACCTAACAGAGTGTTTATATTATGGTCATTGTGAATAATGGGATTTTCCCACGAATGACTACGACATACATTTTATGACTTTGTGTTTAAAGAATTTGGAATATATGTTTAGTAACTGTTATTTAAATACAATTTACAAAATGTCACACTGCCTCCAGCAGTGACTTAAACAGGTGACCGAAGTTACAGAACCTAACAAAACCGGAATAGTCACATGACACTCAAACACAGAGTAAGAACGGACTGTTGGACTACAAAAGTATTCAACGCCTGTACATAATTAATGTTGATTCAGAGTAAGGACGAGGTGTTGTACCACAAAAGCATTCAACAGTTAATTTAAATAATTCATGTTGACTGAGAGTAAGAACTGGGTGTTGGGCTACAGAAGTATTCAACACCTGTACATAATTAATGTTGATTCAAAGTAAGGACGAGGTGTTGTACCACAAAAGCATTCAACAGTTAATTTAAATAATTCATGTTGACTGAGAGTATAAGGACGAGGTGTTGGACTACAAATATTAAACACTTGTAATGTTGATGAAGAGGCTTAATTAGCCCATGTAGTAGGTCATATAAAACTTTAAGTAAATAGATGTTGCTATATCAATTATTTTAACAAAGATAGTCTTTACAAATTGAATTGATGAAATTACTTCTTTCTAATGTCACGAGATTCCCATTAAACATTAATGTGGTTTTTCTAAAGGGAATTTCAAATTTGTTGTCAATTTAGGATTTATCCAACCACAAATATCTTTAATAATAATATAGGGAAATCCAATACTTTCACAAGACGCCTAAAAATTGTGGGAATGTCAACAGTGGTTAGAGAGAAAAGGTGATTAATGGCAGTTGAATAACAATATATAATGTCACGTCACATTCATATCAGACCGCATATTTGTGTGACGGTGAGGCATCGGATTCATTTTGTAAGAGAGCGAAGTGCTTGTGGGTCTGGCTTTCTCAAGGTGAAGGTTGCTCAGATCACGTGACAACGCCATCTTGTTGGTTAGGTTATTTCCGGCCAAATAATACATCCGAAAAATCCACTATCATCGGGGTTGTTAATAGAAATCCATCCATTTTGGCTGGAGATTTTGGTCCACTGATATCTACCAACCAAAATGTGGAAGCTTCGTGAAATAACCGACAAGGTGTAAGTATATATCGTATTAATTTTGCTGAAGGTGTTGATGGTTGTCAACCGGTATCCTAAATTTGTATCATGGCGTTGATGACCTCATATGGGGGTCCACGTAGCATATGTGAGACCGACATGTCACTCTTGTCAGCTAAACATACATTTGCAATAAAATGGTCTCTTTTTTGTCGCGTGGTTAATATAAATCGCAGCCAAATAATCGTATTTCTGATTGAATGTCAAATCAATTATTTGACAGTTTTCATAGAGGGGAGGGGCAGTTTAGGTAAAACAGAGCATCTGTCAAACTGACCAGTAGCAATGGTCACATTTTAGTCAAGGTTTTGTTTCTGTGAGCCGATCATTAAACCTTTAAACTTATAAGTAATGATTGAGATCAAGATCAAACGGCGTGTACACCTAGACAATTTGTAAACACTCTGCATCATCTCGTTACAGAACCGTTGGGTTGACGAGCAGTTTCCAATAAATTGTTTACTTTAATGTCCTAACACGTAGATCTTATGGTATACGTGTGTCATGATATAGAAAACAGTGACATGAAAAAGAGGATTGGGCACAGTTGTTGACCCACATGGATACAGATCTTTGGAGTTTCAAACCAGGAATGCAAAGATGCTGTGTTTTATTGTTGTGTTGGCAAATTGTTTTGAAAATGAAACGATGTAAATATGAATTTATCACGTTAGGGGCCTAATGTAACTATCCTAATAATCCAAATGTAACTATCCACATTTGAATGGACTATATCCTTTCTATGATAAATGTAAATACTGTCGCTGACACATATATATAGAAATAACCCTTATCTCATGACTCATGCTTTGACCGACAACCAGATGTATATTTTTGTTTTTCTTAAGTCTTTGAAATCTGCTCTTTCCATTGATATTCAACATGACTATTCCTGCTGAAAAGAGTAGACTAATTTTGTAAAGTAACAAAGTTATGCTGTTCATTAATTTTCTGAGAACATTTTTGTGATCGTAAACAAGAATAAGATAATTTAGATATGCTAAAACATGTTTCCATGATAAGCGACTATGAGCTTTGTTATCAAAATTGAGACTCTTCATGAAATGCATGTATTACCTAACCATTAATATGACTGTAAAGACTTCCTGGAATTGATACTGCTTGTGATTGTATGCAATACTTCCCATCAATACAGGGAATAACATCAGCATGGGGAGCTAACTACTATGATCATAGGTATAAGAAAAGTTCGAAATTTTAGTAACCACTTACTGGAAACAGTCTATATCAAACACTTTTGAGTCTACTAGCCCAAACGTGTCTCTAAGATCATTTTCAGTAGATTTTAGTGTTATAATATGGACTTCAATTAGCTCATCTTTGCAGACCGAAGAAACTTTATCTAGACACAGGATTCAGACAAATGGCTAACGTCACAGTCTGCTTTATCTTATGGACGCCTTAACCAAATATGAATTTTGGATGCTTAGTTTTTATCTATACACAAGAATGGACCTCATTATGAACCCATGATGTGGACTAATTCAATCTTGTAGCAAATAGTTCAAATCTGGTAATCTGAACAAATTTGCCTGATGTTAAGGTGTGGTGCGCTAGGGGATTCCTCTGTGTTATCACTAATATCGGTTAGTACTAGTTGATTTTAAAGGTTAAATTATGTGCCTGCAAAATATTATGATGCACTTATAATCAGCTAACAGCGCTCTAGGGTGTGTTATTTTTGTGAGGGGGCCAAGCGGATCCTGAAAGCAATATTTTAGTAATCAAACCTCTGTTTTTGAGAGCCAACAGATATCTTAAACAGATATTGTCGCCAGTTATGTTTACTTTTAGGTAGCCAAGTGGTGAGCAGTCAATAAATTTAGGTCGCCAATCATAGATATAAGTTGCATTTGGCCAGCAAAATTGTATCTACTTGTTTTGGTTGTTTTGTTGTTTAACACCGCACTCAGCAATATTCCAGCTATATGACGGCGGTCTGTAAATAATCGAGTGTGGACCAGACAATCCAGTGATTGACATCATGAGCATCAATCCACGCAATTGGGATACGATGGCATGTATCAACCAAGTCAGCGAGCCTGACCACCCGATCCCATTAGTCGCCTTTTACGGCAAGCATAGTCGCCTTTTACGGCAAGCATGGGTTGCTGAAGACCTATTCTTCCCCGGCTCTTCACGGGTCTGGTCTCTACTTAGAGGGCTGGTTAATGTGGACCATGTTCCAAATTGAGCATTTGTTAAGTGTTGTCCTTGAGTTTGTTTCAGTTGAATATGAATCAAGGTATTCTGTTAGACTTAGTTTTTAGCATCAGGGTCATGACAAGGAATCCATGACATGTATGTTTAATTTCAAATACTGGTTATTGTGAAAAATTAAACTCTTGAAGTACATTTTGAGTCATTGTTACTATGTCTGTACTATGGGCCTGACTGCCTTCGCTCCTGAATTAAATGCAAAATACAAACAGGGATTTCTCTAGACCTGATTAGAGTCCGATTTTCAGTCAAAAGTCTGCAGCAAATGTCACAAAAATTACCAAATTGGAATGAAACATTTCCCATTTCAAGCTGTTATAGTCAGACTCCAGTATCTTGAACCTAGCGGGGCCGTATTGTAACTTCGCAATGAACACCCAAGACAGCACAAGTAACCATAGTAATAGATGATGGCATGCACAAGAAAGTAAGAACACAGCAGATGTATTCAATGACAAATTAAAGAGTTGGTTGAAAAATGTGTTCAAATTGCACTGTACGTTTACAGCGATGTTAGGAGAGGTCTTTTTTCTGGTCCTCAAAATTCGGCTTATCTGCGGACATATACGGTACTACAGATGATGTGGAGAATTGCTCAGTGCTGTGTGAAATGCACATTTGCAGTTCTCAATTGTGGCAGTATGGCAAATACCAACTTCGAGATAAAGGTACAAAATTCTGCAGTAAAGTCGCAGATACGACTAAGTCCAAGGTTTGTGGTAGTGCTATTTATTTTTATCTCAAATTCAAGATATTAGGTCAGATTTATGTAATTTGTTACATTGAGGCTGTGGGGACTAGGGAATAGGTTCCAGATATCGGTACATTCAAGATAACAGGGTCAGACTGTATTAATAACTGATGTTATGGCTTTGTAAGGTGATTTGTATTTCACTGATAACAGGATAATCGAGCAAGAGCTTAAATGCCTAGTGTAACATTATTGCATTGAATGCATTTTTGACATTCAATGTTAAAATACCTCTGAATGTAGGAAAATGAGAACCTTAAAATTATTCCCAATTCTCAACAAAGCAATTTTTCCCAGTTTGCCTGCCAAGGGCACTTAGATTGAAATCCTGGATAAATCCCTGCCTAATAATATTTCACCAACAGGGATACAACATCCAGAAACATGTTCTTTCCCATTGTGAAAACATATATAAGGACAGTAGGACACCCACTGAAAAGCCTGAAATTCTACTAGCCCTTAGGTAACCTTTACATCAGACTGACTGACCCAGGCTAGGGGCTGGTCATAAGTTGCATCCCTGCACCAACTTTATGTCAACCAGTGATCAGCTGAACCTCTCCTGGTGTTGTCAGTAATATGTAATTCTTCATATCCTCAGTTGTGAGGTTTTGTTGAGTGATGTAGGTTCTCTAGTCTCCACTGACTGCAGCCTCAGGCTTATTGTCATGCTGATGTCAATGTTGCCCTGTGGGCTGTTACATGTGTTTGCATCAGATGTTTGCTGTGTGCAGCCAGGACCATAGATTTAATACTGATATTACTCACTGTCCTTAGTGACCCACTTTGTTTGAACACTTACCACTCTGGTCATGGCTACCTGTGTTTGGAGAATCTGAAAATGTGAGCCTGATCACCTCAATCCATTAAGAAGATCTGGGTTAGAATAGGTCTTCAGCAACCCATGTTTGCCATTAAAGGCTACTATGCTTGTCGAATGAGGTGACTTATGGGTTGGGCGGTCAGGTGCATCTCATTGTATCCCAATTGCATGATCAATGCTCATGATGTCAGTCACTGGATTGTCTAGTCCAGACACCATTATTTACAAACCAATGTCATATAGCTGGAATATTGCCTAATCCGGCATAAAATAACAAAGTTGAAAATAATTCTGCTGAAGATGCTGTTTCATGCAACTTCAAATTTGTATCTGTTCGTGTGCTCTGAGTTTGTAGCATGTCACATACGTTCACAACAGCGAAATACATGTCTTATTAATACCAAACAAAACTTTTTCATATATTATTCTCTGCAGTTGAGTTCAGGTATGTGTGATTCCTGAATTTGATCAGTAATTATAGGTCTGTAAATTGGTAAATTACGCAGAGTTGACATTCTTAATGCATAGTTGTACCCAAATAAGCCTAAATTGATCAGGTCATGGTGATTTCTGCAAACAATTAACATGCAGCTGCCTGGAGTTCTGTTGACATGTGGTTAACATATTAAAAGGTTAAAAGTAATAATTGTATGCAGAATATTTTCACTGTACCATTTTTTGAAAAATAAAGTCTTAATTTGAAAGTCCATGAGTTAAGTAGCTAATACTGATGTCGATCCCTGCTTTTCCCTTATACTATACCATCTAATTAAATAATATGCAGCTAGTTAGAAAGTCCAGCCCCCATGGGGATTGTGGATTAATACTGGTCCCTGTCAACATATCGGTATGCTTAAGAGGCTTGATGACTTGGATGATTGCATGTCATCGTACCCGAGTTGTGTCATAAGTGAATAAATCAGATGATTAGTTTTGGTAAGCCAGGACAATCAGGACAATTTGCAGAAGAGTATATGTGATGATGACATATATAATTGATGATTTTTTTGTCGGAGACCTGAAACACTTCATTTTTAACCAAAACAGCTTTTAAGACTTTTTTCAATTCTGTTTTTCTGTTAAAATGTAGTGAACAGTGTCCATACTGATAGCAATAGAAGAGGTACAGTGCAAAGTTTTATTTTGATATGTGTATTTTCTGAGAAAATATGAAGTTTTACATGTTTTGGACTTAGAATGTTTTTTACTTCAATATTTGTGAGACCTATAACTTATAACTACTTCATGAATTCTACTTCATGGGGGTACAGTTTCTAAACTACGGTAATAGGAGAGGTGCAGTGCAAAGTTTAATTTGGATAAGTGGATTTTCTGAGAATTGTCTTCTTTCTTTTTCATGTCAAGTGTGCCATATCTGGCAAAGCTTGCCGATGATTATGGCTTCATTTCCTGTGTGCTATTTGTTATTCTTGTTGTACATTTGGCTTCATCCAAGTAACTTTATGCTACTTGTTATCTATTAATTGTTGTTGTCTATGTTAATCTGCTGTTTATCACAACATCTCATCCATATGTACCTCACATCCCTTGTTTGTTGTCACACTAGCTTCATTACGGTGTAAGAACCTACGTCGAAACATTGCAATAAAGCGGAAGTTGTTATCCATAAAGTTCAGTTGTATGTTTTTTTGCTTGTCTAGATCTGCTTCAAGGCCAATATTATCAGCAGTAGAAACTAACATTTTTAGTCCACTAGTCCTAATAATGATAACAAATAGCAAAACACTTGTAAATGGCATATTTCTACTTGTCCTTATGATACCTTAACTATTGGGCAGTTTGGCAAGGACTACAGGACTTGTGCCAGTTTCTAACCCTGATATTAAGCCCCAAATCTGCAGCAAGTGCCTCTACAAAATTCCCAAATTGGAATGAAACATTTCCCAAGTCATGTTATGTGTTTTGTAGAGGTGACTTGTATTATACTGATACAGGATCAATATAGAGGAAGCGGCTTTTGTGATTAGTTCAACACTGTTGCATTGAAGTTGAATGCAATGTAAAAATTCTATGTGAAAAAAAATCTCAATTTTCAACAAAATTGCAAGTTTTCCCAATTTGCCGGGCAAGGGCACTTACTTCGAAATCCAAGATAAGTGCCTGCTGGTTTTTTAATGCCTTCATGACACGCTCTCGTAGTAGTAACACAGCACCAGCAGAAGCTCAAGGTGTAATTTGAATTGACAACCGCATCAATTCCAAGTTCGGGTTTGGTAAATGGTTTTAATTATTTATTTCAATTTGTATCTGTAATCAGACTTGATGAATTGTGACCCAAATGAGAAGAATTAGCTTCAATGTTGCCTTTGTTTTCAGCACCAATGTGGTGATGAACTACAGTGAAGTGGAGGCCAAGGTGCGGGAAGCGACCAACGATGATGCATGGGGTCCACACGGCTCCTTGATGAACGAGGTCGCCCAGTACACATTCACGTACGAGCACTTCCCTGAGGTGATGGGCATGCTATGGAAGAGGATGTTGCATGACAACAAGAAGAATTGGCGCCGTGTCTACAAGGTTGGTGACTAACTTTTAGAAAATTAAGAACATATGGATTGATCAGCCTTAGAAATTTGGTTAATTTTGAGGCTAGTCCAGAAGACTAGTGGAAACCTTACTTCATGTGTCCTTGTAGCTAGCTGGAATGAAACAGATATAGGAACTATGTTTCCATTTTCTATCAGTTTTGCTCAGTTGCAATTTGTAGCAAAATTGAAGCATTGAGAACTGGTTCAGAATTAGAGCCCTCAATGAGGACTGCCATCATTGAAGTTAACTTGTCTTCAGCCGGTGTCCGAAATAAGTGCCTGCCCACCTTCCCCGGCTGGTGACTTTTCTGTCGGGCTTCATGAAATGTTCCTTCACCTGCCCAACTGTCTGGCAGAGAATTTTAAGCCAACTTACATCTTCAGTTTTGTCATAACTCCTCGTAGATTCTCAGGAATTATATTGCATTATTTTCAACTGAATCTAGATGTGATTTGTCTCATACTGTCATCGGCATTCCATTATTATATCAACTATTAACGATTGATGAGAGGAAGTGACTAGGCTTTCATTGGTCAATCTAGTCTTAATATCAGTGTATTTGGATTGATATTAAGACAGAAATACTTTTTTAGGGGCTCGAAAACACAGTACACTATTCAATATTGTCATAATGTGGGGACGTAACCTGAAGATGGGCATGCAACATTTATGGGTCACCTGCCCAGCTGTCTTTTTTTGTGTTATGAAATTATTTCAAACACTGGCCATCCACACAGTTTAGTAGTCTTGGGCTAGCGGACAAGTGTGATTTTCAAAGACTGTTGACTCAGTCCATGGTTTTACTGCTGTGTCCTATGTATACACATACAAAACATGAAGGGACACAAGTAAGTTACATTGCAAGTCTTGGGGGACACAATAAAGTTTGGCTGTTTGAATGAAAATTGTTGATAGCATGTTACACTTATCTGACGTTTCTATTCTGGTAAGAAATAAACTAGAAGTTCAGTGTGTCATTGGTTGATTTTCTCCAATCTAACATCGAATGTATGATGAGCTAAAGGCTTCTGAGCATGTCCATGATATGACAACTGCGAAAGTTTTGGAAATTCAAGTGTGTCACATGTCACCAGACTTAGAAGCCATGTTCTGGCCTTGAACCGCACCAACTGTAACTGAGAGTCCCTTGTCAGACCAATCTACAGGAGTTCAGGACCCCGGGGGGATTCCAGTTTTTACGATTGCTGCGATTGTTGCATCACAACAAATTGTTACAAAATCCCTGATTTATCGCTTATGTTATCATATAAAACGTATGTAACAAACTCTTGCCAATTAATGTATATAGCGAACTGATATTTGATCCCGACAAGCCCAAATACCACTAATTTGTGACGTATATGTAGAGCAGAATGAAAAATCTCACTCACTCAGTGTCAATTAGTGTCACTGATAATTGACTGATAATAGTCAATCAGCGGTGAGGATTCAACCTTCTTAAAACTTGCTTTATGTTAATCTTACCTGTAATTTGACTAGTCATGTATGTAAAATAGATACTATTTGACGTATATAACAAACAACAAATATGACAAACTGATTTCTCTGAACCCTTGTAGTTTGTTATATCCATGTTCTACTGTACATGCTGTATTTATGTTATGTGACATGTTTATAGCTACAATGTGTGTATTGGCCCACAGAATGCTTCGAGGTGGAATAATATATCACAATTACTGTATTTGACGTAATAAGCGCCCAGGGCGCTCTCAAAATTAGAAATAGGGGGCCCTTATTAGAATATAATTTTGGTAAAGAGTTGAAAGATCGTATATTATGTGGTTTACGCTGACACCCTGAAATAATACAAAAGAAAAGTCTGTGCGTATTATACTCAACAGATATATTTTTCCAGAATTTAATTGCCCGTAATTAAGGGTGCATATAACACACGAGTGCATATTATACATGAATAAATATGTCTTGTGTACATTGATCAATCGGGAGGGTGCTAATTGGGATTGTTCACTAGCCGATATATTAGCAAATATCGCCGTGGGCACTTATTAGAGCGGGGCGCTTATTGCGTCGAATACAGTATTCATAATTCTTTTGAGAATTCCCCAATATAAGGCCCAGGTTGAGGTAAACTCTTGTTTGACAGACATTTGTTTCTGCTTTAAGACAAAAGAATGAAAAGAGTTGTGACAATCTTGAAACACACCTTTTCGTACTCAATTACGTCGACAACCAATCTAGACCAATTTAACATGACTCACTGCCTCTGCTGTGTCACAAGCTGAGGGATTATAAGAAGTAGTGGTGTATGTCTGTGACTTTGGCTTCTGAAACATGTTCAAGGAGCTCTGAATGTTATGTTTAGGAGTGTAACAATATATCAAACTATCACAATTGTTTGCCCTACGATAGTCCTATGACCTACCATGGTGGTTTCACAGTTAGTATACATAACAATCAATAGTTTCAATAGTTGCAATTACCGTATTCGACTTAATAAGCGCCCAGGGCTCTCTCAAAAATAGAAATAGGTGGCTCTTATTAAAATATTATTTGTGTGAAAAAATCAGAAGTTGAAAGGTAAATTTCGTGGTTTATGCTGACAGCCTGAAATGTTTATATCCGACCGATGTATTTTTCCAGAATTTAATTGCCCATAATTAAGGGTGCATATATGCGCCTTGTGTACATTGATCAATCGGAAGGGGTGCTAATTGGGATTGTTCACAAGCCAACATATTAGCAAATATCGCCGTGGGCGCTTATTAGAGTGGGGCGCTTATTACGTCGAATACAGTAGCTATAAATAATATGTATATTATGCGAATTTCAAACCTGCCTGTGGGGTTAGTTAGCAAGGATCACACAACTTCAGATTTAGATCACTTTCCTTTGGTTTGGGTAGTAACAGGAAGGAAAATTGCCATCTTTGAGATTGTCAGCAATACTTTATTCATTTCTATTACATTGATTAATATTATTATCAAGCCTTAAAGTTGGTTTACTACTATTGCAGTACTATTGCCATAGTTGACAACTATCGCCATTCTATTGCATTAGTGCAGGGTACTATTGCAACACAATTGCAATAGTGACAATTGCCCCATTAGTCACCCCTAGTCTTGTTATACATGGCTAAAACAGGGGTTTACAGGGGTTTATTTGGTCCATTACTCATTCAAATTGGGAATGGACTCAAATAATATCCATTGCATGTCCTTTGGGATGCAAAACAGTATGGCTGTTAATTGTATTGTAGATAGCATCTTACTTGTAACTGAGAATTCTATTCTGATAATATACATGTGATACCTCCTGATCTGTCCGGGAAGCTGCGTGATTAGTGGCCCTTATCAAGGTCAATCGCCAAGGGTTGACCCCGGATGAGTCTTGTAATTAACTGCTAATTAAATCCATGTGGTGAACAATTTAACAATGTAAAGAAAACTCTGATACTAGTCCTAATAGTTGTGTGAAAGGAGTACTTATCCCTTCCTGATATGATCTGTTCTCATCTTCATGTTTTAAACATGTTTATTCCTGCATAATTTAATACAAATGTACATATGAACAGCCCAGTCATACATGGCTATATTGGTTGTCAGATTTATCAGAAACTGTGTTATTAACTTGAGATACATAGAAATACACTAAAAGTTCAGCATGTCAGGGGTTGATTTCTGTTCGGGAGATATGCTGATTTATATGGCTGTCCAATGAGATTACACTTGAGGGAGAAATCCTGTGCTTCATCAATAACAAGGATATTGATTGAGATGGGCACTTCTGAAAGTTATGTAACAAGCACCAGATAATGTACTAATGGCCTTTGGTCTCATCAGTACCATGAATGAGGATTGATTGATTGAAAGCTTTGGTGACGAATGGGTTTGGAGTATTTGTCATAATAGAATGTACCGTATAGTGCGCACCCATGTATAATGCGCACCCTCCTCTTGCGGGTTGAATATTTTTTAAAAAAAGAAATTTGAATATTATGCGCAGAAAAAATTTACACCGTACCCTTTCGTCAAAGTCCGGCAAACGAACGGGTGCTGAGAAACTTCGTCAGTACAAATTGAAATTTGAGATAAAAAATCACCAGACATGTTTATTTACCGTTTAAATAGTATTTATTGTTCTGCTAGGCATTGTTTTATATCTAGGGATTAAGATTACCTTGCGTATTTTCTCGTAAACTAAGCCGGAAACAGCAATCAGCTGTACACACGTTTTCTTGGAATCGACCGGTGATTCGGTCAAGACACACCCAATGATATAACTTTATAAGATTTTTAATGCAAGGATCGGCAACAATTGTATCTGAAACTATTTTATTTATCAGGAATAATATATTCCATTATTTTCTTAATTATATGCAGCCTTTACTAAACATATTTAAAATAATAATAACCCTAAGCGAAGCAGCTGATCGCTATTCCCGGGTATTATTTTTTACATGGAACATGTCTGACCAGTCACCGTCAAGGTTCACGTGTACGTGATCACGTGATATGATACCCTTGATAATGGAGGATAATTTAGCACAGGGGCATTAAATCTGGAGTTGACTCAGATTTGTGTTCAACATTTTCAGAGTTTGATTCTGTTGACGTACCTGGTGCGGAACGGCTCAGAACGTGTGGTTACCAGTTCCAGAGAACACATCTACGACCTGAGGGCGCTGGAAAACTACACCTTCTCGGATGAAAATGGCAAGGACCAGGGACTGAATGGTGGGTAGTAGACGCAGGCATACAACATCAGATTTATCTCGGATTGCAGACTGTGCTCTCGGCATGCAAATTGTCCAAAACATCATTGTATTTTATGAAGTTCTTATTTTTCTAAATTTCAAAAGGGATTTTGACCTTACATTCAGTGCCATAATGTAAAACTAAGCATTAATCCTCTTTATTGGTCCTGTAATCAGTGGTGGCAGAGGGGTAGCCAAGTGGTAAAAAGTGATCGCTTGTCAGGCGGAAGGCCAGGATTCTCCACTTGGGCACCATTTGGGCCCACTTCTAGTGTCCACACTGTGATATTGCTGGAATAGTGCAAAAAGCAGCATAAAACCATATCACTCACATTCACTCTCACTCACTCACTCACTCACTCACTCACTCACTCATGATCGGCAGGTTGGTTGGGTTATCAGTTTTGTAAGTTTGGGATTGTATTTAAGAGTTGTGTGGGTTTAGAATCAATGTCTGATGCCACCAACATGTTTTTTTGTTAGTACGCCACAAGTGCAAGGATCTGCTAGGCTTCATCCAGGACGACGACAAGATCAGGGAGGAGAGGAAGAAGGCCAAGAAGACGAAGGACAAGTTTGTGGGCGTGTCAGGAGATACTTCAGGTTATAACTCCTACAGTAAGTGTTGTAATGTAAGCCTAGGTTGTAGTCAGCATGGCTTAGCATGATTCTCCTACTGAAGCACCTGCTGCAGTACTTCCAGAGCGATGGAAACACTCCTGATTAATACTTTGGTTGTCATGCCGATGACCAGGATTCAGTTGTCGAAGGATTAATTCTGATTTGCTGCAATTCTTGGGGTCACCAGCCCTGATATTGTTGGCACTGTTAAAACTTGGCTGGGAATACCGTAATGGAACAACATTACAGTTCTGCTTTATGTGATTCTTACATAGAGAGGCCAATAATTATGATTTTGGTGGAACCATTTCAATATTTGGAACCAATTTCCACCAATGCTATCCTGACCGCCTCCATGGTGTAGTGGGTAAAGCATCTGCTCAGAGTACACATTAAATTATTGTACTTCTTACCCTGCCTCGCGCTTGGCATTTAGGAGATAAAACAAGGACTGGTCAGCTCAGGGTCAGTGTACTATGTCTGAGTGGGGTATCCATGTTAAACTATGGGGTGCTATCTCAGTGGACTAGCACTAGTACAAGCAGCCACTAACTATGCATACATGGTTGCTATGTAAGTGCAATAATCTTGAAAGCCATGTAAACCGGTAACCCCATTTCACATCATATCACTACCTTATTGACATATGACCTTGATATTGATCCTAATCTAGTGGGACATAAATTTTGTATATATATTATCCCAGCAATTGTGGTTTCAAAATTGATTTCATGGACGGACATGATAGAAATCCGATTTATTTTTGTCGATACCACAAGTTCTGCATTATAAGGGGAATAACTCATATTTTCAGTACTTGACCCATAATATCAACATAAAAGTGAATAAAAAATGACATGATATAGGTGAAAATTTATGACTTGTGTATGACCTTGCAAGCTACAGAGCTTCATGAGATTTTGTCATGAAATATTTTTTGTTCGCCTGAGCATGCCTGCCTGATTGTTACTTGTGTATTGTTAGATGTGATTTTTGAGCAAGTTGTACTGCCTTTTTATGTCAGGTTTGCATGTGTGTTATGAATGTTGGCGTATTCTTTTACTCCAATACAAAACCTCTCTGCACAATCTCATTGAAGTCAGATCTTAGTTATCACTACTACTAAACAAAGATCTAAGGACATCCCATTATCAGTGAACTTTGTGAACCTTTGAACGACAAGAAGTCGATATTAGCTGCCGATCAGAAGGCAGCTTTCTCATGTTTTACGGCACTAGTTTCAAACTAGCGACCAATCTATGAAACATATTTTGGCAAATTCTCGATTAAAAAATTGAAAACTGAACAAAAGAACATTCTTGAATGCCTAATAGATAGGGGTGTCACGATAAATAGAAATATATATATATTTATATTGGTAAGCACTTAAAGTCAATAAATCGATTGTTAAATCAGTTTCCCATCAATAATCGATTTCAGTTAGGAATATCAATAGTTTCGATTGTATTTACCATATCAATAAAATACATGCAATGCTGTTCAAATTTGTTTTTCTTTTGATCATGAGTGGTAGTAATTTACACATGGTGATGTGGAAGTTTCTTTTTCTTAAATTATTAGGGTAAAGAAAAAACAAAGAGCTCCATGGACTCAACACCAAAATAAGAGTACCATTGAAGAAATATTTGTTATACCTGGGATAAGTTTTGTTAAAATCAAACTGTCTGAATCTAGGTGGTGAAAGAGAAGCCAAATTTGCAGTCTGTGACTTTTGCCAAAAATCTGAAGCCCAAATCTCGTAAAACTCTGTTCAGTTTAGTAACCTCAGCTAAAATAGTCCATATGATTATACTGAAATGATAGTGAGAGCCATGTTCAGACTTGTTCAAACTGAACTTGGACTTGACAGTTCACCTTCTGTTTAGGTGAGCTCAGATATTGACACAGAGAAGTATTGATCAAATGTTAATGAAATGGAGTAAGCATGTGTGTGTTTGTGGATCAGTGTGTCTACACAGGGATCTTGAAAACATTTATCTATCATGTTGTGGTCTTGATTCAAGGATTTGTCAAAAGATTTGTGTAACCCATTTAGACAGCAATTTCACTTGAAATATCAGACTATTCATCAAACTATTTTATGGGGTATCAGGGATTTACCCGGCTTATTTGTTTTGGGGTCCAGGAGACTCAAAGCCTTGGATTGAGGAGTCCCAGACAAATGATAAAACATTTGAAAATGGTACTCTGCCACGAGTGACGTAAGATTGGGCATGCACCGATGCAGAGAGGCCCATTGTTAACAATAAACATGGAGTTCACCAACTGAGACAAATCTATGTGCACTTGAAGGTTATGAAGCATTAGACTGTATGTGGTATTTTGTAAATGATTACATTCAGAATTTAAATTTTTAAGTAGAGCCAAATTATGACAAAGCATTTATTCATAAACATGCATTCATATTTTTGGCATCACAGTGGATGCACTCTGTGTTTTGTTTGCGTCTGTTTTCAATTTTGATGCATGTAGGAAGCAGGATTTCTAGCCTGGTAAATCCCTGGGGTATAAGTTGAATTTTGAAGATCAACATCCAAAAGGTTTGGTACTTGAAATAGATTCAGTCATGAAGTTTTCACAATAGGTAGCCACACAATGACTCCAGACAAATCAGCAGCAGCCATCTAGTAGACATTCTAAGGTAATTTCCATCCTGGTAATGTAACAGGCTTCATTAAACTTGGAAAGGTGCCATCTGGATTAACAAGGTTTTAGTGTAGATGCATTACCTATCTAGGTGACCGGTATGAGGAAGAGCCACGCAGGACCAAAAAGCTTGATGACATCGATGACTGGGGCGGCGGAAAGAAGTCCATCGCCATCGAAGCAGTAGACAGGGTCAAGGATGTATGGAACAAAGTCACGGGCCGACGAGGGGGAGCAGAAGCACCAGACTTCTAGTAAGTCAGCCTCTTCATCCTCACCATGGAGATTCTGAGGCAGAATAGGTCACCTTGATCTTAATATACTTCTTGTAACAACTGACAAATAAGAAGCAAGGGGATTTTAGAGGTCACAATGACAATGACAATCCACGTTATAAAATAATGCAAAGACTTCCACCATATTTATTGGCTGAGAAGTGGTCACATGTTGTTTGGCAGAAACACAAATTGACTCCAAGTGATGTCTGATAATTATGGTATTCACTTGAGCCAATCAGATGTCTCCCTTTGTTGTACCTCCTAATGTTATTTTATATATTGTTTTATAACATCGTTTGATATGTTGAGTGTGCTTTTTTCTCTTTATTATATAATAGACCAATTAGATTTTTGTTCATGTCCATAAAAACAGGTGTTGAGCTCATATAAAGTCTATAATTGTGTATTGTTCCACATGCAAAAAGCCACTGTTTTGTCAGTTCCAGATTCAATTATTTCCATGCCTCTGGAAAGTTTATTTGTGAATGTGGTATAAACATATTCCCACTTCTATGACATTTGGGGTGACAAGTATGAGTACTATTCGAATACAACAGGTAAAGGGGGGTTTGCTCTATTACATAGTAACATGGGTGGCCCAGTCGTCCCATGGCACCGCAATTCCCCGTGTTGAGTCAGTTCCTTGTAGCACGATATGGAAATCATGGGTTCACGTCACATATTTGTCTTGATTAAGATTCTGGTTTTGTCAGCGCTGTACCCTTGTTCATGGGTCTCACCAAAGTGGTACATATCTGTGGCTGGCATTACTCTTGACTTCTCTACCACATTGAACATACTCACTGTGATATGACTGTAATACTTTTCCTGCAATAGAAACTGGCATAAGTCCTATAGTCCTTGCACAACTTCTCAGTAGTTATGGTATCATTAGGACAAGTAGAAATGTGCCATTTTTGAGGGTTTTGCTGTATGTCATCATTATGAGGACTGGTGGACTAAAAGTGTCCTTTTCCTTCGCTGTTTTCAAAGCAACATGAAAACGAACTTCCTTGTTCTTCAATTTAATGAAAACAAAATATGATTTTACTTTCAGTGATGATGATGATAGGGGAAGTCGCTATGACGACAAAGTCAGTCGCTATGACGACTACAAAGAGAGGAACCGAGACCGAGAACGAGAACGAGACAGAGACCTTGATCATGATGATGATTACAGTGAGAAAGATCGAGACCGTCCAAGGGATCGTGATCGTTATGAATATAAAGATGATGATGAAAATGAATTTACATCAGTTGAAAGAACTCATACAACACGTACAGAAAAAATTACGACAAATAGACGATCAAGACAAGCAAAGAAAATTGATCTCGGAGCTGCAAGCAGTTTGGGCAAAGATTCAGATTCAGTGGTAAGTCACAATTACTTTTGTTTTGATACACTTTATACCAGATAGCTGTCAGCCATATTTGTTTGAAGCTTCTAATCCAGTCTTTTGAAAAATAGGGAGATGAAGCTTGAAATAAACAGTAACAATGACCCTGCTTGCACTTGTATGGTATGATATGATTAAACCACAAACTTGAATATCAAAGCAATTCATTAACATAAAAAATAAGACATCAACTACGAAACATAACTCTATAAAACTTCTATAATTGTATATGGCAGCCTCATCAGTTACATGCATCAGGGCCACATTTCAAGAATCATGTAGTATTTTACATTCTATTAGGATTAGAATGTGTGGCAAGCCATCCCAAACTCCCTGTTACTAGTGTTAATTTAGTACTTTTTTTTCCAAAAAACACAGCTGTGTAGAAGGGGGTGCGCATTATACACGAAATAATGAGTTTTGATGTTTATTCCCCCATGGAAAGACATTACCGTGAGCACGTAACACCGGAAATACCATGTCAACAAATCAATACTGAAGTACGCAAATTAATCATGTAATTACACTGTCTGGCTATAAAAAGTGTTCTTTGTATATCTGGACTTATGTTTGTAACTTATTTCATTAATTTTATTCAAAATTCCTTTTAATATTGTTTTAATTAATTTCAACGAAATCATGTGTGAAGCGATCAGAAGATCGCACAACTCACCGTTATTAACAGCAACCACGGTCAGATTACCGCTATTGACGCCTTGAAACAAACTTTAGTTGACAGAGAATGGATACATATATCATAAATGCCATACTTTGACTCGTTAAAAGTCATATTTGTTTTTGTTGGACGATTCTATGTCAACATGTAATTCTCGCGATCATGTGCACGGGAGCCTTGACGGTGACTGGTCAGACTGGTTCCATGTAAAAATTATACCCGGCAATAGTGATCAGCTGCTTCGCTTAGGGTTATTATTATTATCCCCCGCCACGAAATGGAAGGGGGATATAGGAATGGGTGCCGTCTGTCCGTCACATTTCGTTTCCGGAGCAGATCTTGAAAACTGTACCATATTTCTTCACCGAACTTGGCACATAGATAGATCTAGTGGTGAACTGGAGCCTTTTATTAGTTTTGGATTTAAAAAAAAGTTATTTTTCGAGTTTCTATGGCAACAACTTTGATTTAGACTGAATATGGCGGTAGTCCTCGTTTCTGGAGCAGATCTTGAAAACCGTACCATATTTCTTCACCAAACTTGGCACATAGATAGATCTAGTGGTGAACTGGTGCCTTTTGATAGTTTGGGATTTTTAAAAACAATATTTTTCGAGTTTCCATGGCAACAACTTTGATTTAGACTGAAAATGGCAGTAGCCCTCGTTTCCGGAGCAGATCTTGAAAACCGTACCATTTTTCTTCACCATGTTTTGCACATTGATAGGTCTAGTGGTGAACTGGTGCCTTTGGATAGTTTTGGATTTTTTTTTAAAGTTATTTTTCGAGTTTCCATGGCAACGACTTTGATTTAGACTGAAAATGGAGGTAGTCCTCGTTTCCGGAGCAGATCTTGAAAAACGTACTATATTTCTTTACAAAAAGGCCAAGTGAACATAGTTCACAGGAGCTAATGCATTGCACACACCTGACATGTCATATTGGCGGGGGATGTGAGTATTTCATGCTTGTTTTAAATATGTTTAGTAAAAGCTGCATCTAAATTCACAAGATATTGGAATATATTATTCCTGATAAAAAATTAGTTTCACTTTCAGATACAATTTTTGCCGATCCTTGCATTAAAATCCTTTAAAGTTATATCATTGGGTGTGTCTTGACCGAATCAACGGTCGATTCCAAGAAAACGTGTGTACAGCTGATTGCTGTGTCCGGCTTAGTTTACGAGAAAATACACAAGGTAATCTTAATCCCTGGATATAAAACAATGCCTAGCAGAACGAAAAATACAATTAAAACGGTATATAAACATGTCTGGTGATTTTTTATCTCAAATTTCGAATTTGTACTGACGAAGTTTCTCATCACCCGTTCGTTTGCCGGACTTCGCTAAAGGGGTACGGTGTAATTTTTTTTCTGCGCTTGTTATTCGAATTTTTTTTTTTTCCAAAATATTGAACCCGCTAGAGGGGGATGCGCATTATACATGGGTGCGAACTTTACTCAAGAAAATATGGTACTAAGGAAAATGGTGGAAGGTATCCGATGTACTGCAATCTGAAATACATTGTGCTTGAACTATCATAATCATGTACCATGGCTTGTTAACAATATTAAGTGTGTCTGGAATGAACACAAGTCAAGCTTAAATTCCTTGTATTCCTAATAAATTCCGAATGTTACGATAATCGATGTAGGTCCCAAGTAACCCATAAAAAATTAGAGGTAACTGACCGCCTCCGTGGTGTAATGGCTTGGAGCTCGGCATTTAGAGGATAAAATAAGGACTGGTTGGAGTAAGTAAACTATGTCTGAAGTCTCAAAATCATGAATGACCCCCTACCTACGTGCTTGGATGAATGGCATGATCCACATGCAATGGTTGGGGTTTGTTGTGGCATTCTATCTCTGGCAGTCATTTTTCAAAGTTGATCTTTCTTCTGACAACCGTTCACAACATTTATATTTCATGATGCTGTACTTCTTTTAGGAGATGATATATACTGAACAACAAAAGTTCCTGTGATATTGAATAAGATTTAATGCATAGTTATGTTTTTTACCAAATCTGAAACAATTTCGGTTCGCAACAGATAAAAGACTCCTGTAAGTGTTCAAATGGTTTAATTTGCAATACTGACTTCAGAAAATGTGTGATATCATAAAAAAACCATGAACATGCCAAAATGTCAATTTACAAATCAATAGCGTGTGTGTCCACCTCTGGTTGCGATGCAAACAACACATCTTTGTCTCATGGAATGGACCAGGCGTCCTGTGGGTTATCTGTCCATATCTGCTGGAGCATGTTTCGAAGTTCCTGGAGTGTCAGTTGGAACACGTGGTTGACGTCGAAGTCGCCGATCCATCTCATCCCATGTGTGCTCGATTGGTGAGAGATCAGGGGAGCGAGCCGGCCAGGGAATGACATTCACGTTGTTTTGTTGAAGAGAATCCTGAACAAGTCAAGCAATATGAGGCCGGGCGTTGTCATGTTGAAAGGTAATGCCTGGGCCATGATGACGCAAAATCGGTAGAACAACAGGGCTGATGATCTCGTTGCGGTAGTGCTGTCCATTGAGATTTCCCTCTACCACTATCAAACGGGTCCTCTGTCTTGCTGTAATCCCACCCCATACCATAACACTGCCGCCCCCAAATCGATCTTCTTCCATGACACAATGATTGACGTAGCGTTCACCTCGACGTCGGTACACTAAAATCCATCATGATGTGAAAACGAGACTCGTCAGTGAATAGAACTTGTCCCAATTGCATGGCCGTCAAGCGTAGACGCTGTCCACACCTGTACCTGCACCTGCACATGCTTGACGGTGGTTTCCTGTCAAAATGGGACGTCTGGCGACAATCCCGATGTACGGTTGGTGAAGATATTCGTCGAAGGCCAGGGATGCTTCTTGCAGTCACTGTTGCTGGCTGGAATCGATTTCGTAGGTGTGTTGTTCGAATCCAATTGACTTGTCGATTATTGGTTATGCGTGGCCTGCCACTCCAAGGATGGTCTCTGACTGCATTCGTCTGTTGCCAACGTTGCCATAAACACAAATTGGTGTTTCTGTGGACATTAAATTCTCTTGCAACATCACGTTGACTCGATCTTGCTTCAGGCATACGAATGGCTCGCAGTCGCTCATATTCAGACAGGCGTGGCATTTCGTAATGTTGAATAATTGCATAATTTTGTTGTTTTTCTGAGTGGTTGTTGTCAGCACGATGCTAAACAATGCATATGGAAAGCCGTTAACGCACATGCTTTTATACCCATTCTTGGGTAGTGAAATGCATGGGGCTTGCATAAAAGTCAACTTTTACATGGAATGCATGCTTTTCTGTAGCAGTTGTGTTTTTGTGACTTGATTCCATACATGTACTACAATATTGAAAACCACACTTTACTTGTTTGAAAAATACACTAAAATATTGGTGTCGCAGGAACTTTTGTTGTTGAGTATATAATTTTTATTCCAATTTTAGAATTTTTAATAACATTTTCTGCAGACTGGGGCAGAATATCAGCCTCTGAGCAGGTTTAGATAAATCCTGAAACTACAGCCCTGATCACACTTATGATGCAGATGTAAAGCTGATGTCTCCAATGCCCGTCCCACTTGGTACTGGAAATGTTGAGATAGTTCTCACAGCCTCTTTTATATCCCTGCTAATATTGATTAATCTACTTGTGAATGTTATTCATAGATAATTCATATTAGTTGCAAATGCAGTTCTGCATCGGAAATTCATGGCTTCATTTACCACTTGGCAAGTGCAGTATTGATTAATATGTCAATGTGTACCTTCCCAGCATGCCATGTGTAACTAATGACAACAGATTCTCGTTTGGTCTTTATCAACAACAGTAGAAACTCACTGATATAATTATGAATGTGTGCCTTGAGTGAAATAATGGATGATTGGCCCTAATCTTCAGATTAGGTTTCAGTGTTAATCATGTTGGTTGTGTTCCAGTTAGAGGACTTCATTGATCATCAATTGTTGATGTTGGGTGATTCCAATTGCCTTCCAAAGAATCAGTCATGAATTCTGTAATTAATAATTATTAATAATTATTAAGGTTTTAAGAATTGTTTGGCTCAAAATTCAATGCAGGTAGTCGGAAAAACCCTTTTAGTACTGCCACTGATGAATGCAGAACAAGCTTGTAGGTCACACAATCACAGGAGTATGATTATGAAAAAATACCAAAAGATAATTGATTGGGATTTTTTTTGGTTAGAACTTATTTTATTTATTTCTTATGAACAACAGTGATAAAATTTCTTGTTTTTCATTTCACCTAATTGCGAAAACAGTTATCCACGTTCATTTACTTGCGAAAGTGTCTTTTCTTCTTCTATTAACAGTTTCCCTTTGTCAGGCAGTCTAGCAACCAGCATTTTTTAAGGCCTTATGTTCAAATTATATTAGTTCATCATTTTCTAGTTTTGTGGGATAAGATTGAGTATAAAGAATCATTTTACAGGTCTTACCTGAAAGAATTGTTTATACGTTTTACCTGAAATTTGCAAATGATATGAAAAAGGATTGTTAGTATTTATCTGAATGATAGTACTAGAAATGTTTTCTGTAAATATATACATATAGCAGTTTTCAAGTAATAATGATATATATATTTATTTTTTTCTTTCAGAGTGTAAATAGTAATAATGTAGACGGTGCACCTAGTCTTATTGATATGGGACCTCAACAGAAGACGGGAGATTCTTCATTTGCTGATTTCAGTGGATACCAGTGTGCAAATGCAAATGGAAGTTTTGATGAATTTAACCCTAGGGCAGCAGCAACACCTCAGTGTAAGTGGAAGCTGATAACCCTGTGGATATTCCAGGTTGATTGGTCCCCAGCAACCTAGGGAGTAGCGGCTTCATGGATCGGGTGGTCAAACTCACTGACAGTGTGTATTGTGTATCATTGTAACCTAGAAGGCATAGGTCATTGCTCATAATATCAATCACTGGATTGTCTGGTTTAGACTTGATTATATACACGCAGTCATTATATTGCTGAGTTCAGTGTCAACATGGTTAAGCAACAAACCAACAAATCTAATGTGATCAGTAGAATGGCTGAACACTTGATCACTACTCAATCTGTGATGCTTTATGTCACAGGGTCGACACAGGGCTTGAAAACACTTTAAATTTCAACAGCTGTCTTAAAAAAACCATGAATTCAATTTTGGCATTGAAAACACTGAAAATACAAAAATCGTCCTAGAATTTCCCTCGTTGCAAGATTTTTGGGCCGTTTATGTAATCAAGCAGCTGTCAGTTTGAACTGGCAACATAACGTGAAGTCAACCCAGCTCTGTGTTAGGCTTGATGTGTCTGGTTCCATTTATATAGGAGACCCGTCTGGTGCAATCAGTTGCGCAATTTGGTATTTCAGAATTGTATGAGAAGTGTTATGTTGTTGCATTTTGGGAAAAAATATTTGACACTAAGTGACTCATGTCTCCTGTTAAGTAATTTTCTGAAAGAATTAATTAAATCAGGGTCTGATGGTCTTGTGTTATTTTGGGGGCACTGATGATTATTTTGCCATTTGGAAACAGAACCTCACGGCGCAATCTTCAACCTATACAACACTGGGGGTATATCATCTTTTTTTTCTACTACTTGTCATTGACTGGGGGTTGTCAGCTATAGGCCTGCTCTCAGTTCCACAAAGCGATGGTTGCGCTAAGATGATCGTAACTCTCATACTTCTAAATAGACTTTCGGCAGTCTTAGCACTGAGATCACTTTGTTGAACGGATCCCTGGTGTTCCATACACATCCTTCAGTTAGATTGGGTGGTCAAAATTCGTTCGGGGTTATCTTTTTCTCAGAAGGGATTGTCAGCTAATTACTCCGAGATAATGTAAGGATGTAAAAGATCTGATATCAATGTGAGGTTTCATTGCCCATGTTTTTTCTGGGCCAGACTTGCTTCTTGGAATCTTTCTGACAGCACCATGCATTCAAGTTCTCACTCACAGCTTCATTATGCATTCCCAGCCTATTCCAAACCTAACTGGTGCCTTACGCTCTTTTAATCTATTTCCAAACTATTTGTTCTTGTGTCTATGGAAACAATTTCAACATAGCCTCAAATAACTCTAATCTTCGTTTCTGAGCCTCCACTATCAAACCAATGAATATTTGTGCATGGTTCTATACATGTGCAATGACCACATGCTCAACTATTGCCTTTTCATATTTTTCTATTTTTCATGTTTATAATTTCTCTGTTTCCATGGAAACGATTTGGACTTAGTCTTAGTCAAAGAAGTAGTGATTGTTTCCCACCAAGACTCTACAGCTAATGAATATTTCTGCATGTTATCATTATCTCTCCAGGCTATAATTTGCAATTATTGTTTTGTGGATTTGCAAGGACATTTGTAGTAATGACTTGAACAATTGTATCAAAAAAAGGAGGTGGTAAAAAAACATGTTTCAGTGAGTAAAAACACATTCTACTTGTACCTGTTTTCAGCACCAGGTCAACCAGCTGATTTCGGTGACTTTGCGCAATTTCAAAATGGAGGAACAGTCTCATCTCCCACAGGGTAAGATACCATCATGAGCCATCAGTAGATCGTACATGAAAACGTGACATTTGTCTCGATCATAAAACATGTTTTGTACTAGAGTCAGCTGAATGTACAACGGCTGAAAAACTTGTATGTATACTGTTAGAAAATAAAAATGCAATGATTTTTTTCCCCCATACAGTATGTCCTATATATAAAACATTTTTGTTATTTTTGCCATCATAATTTTTTCACTCTAGATGTGACTGAAAATGAGATAATAATGGATAGTTTTGCTATTCATGTACCCACATGATTAATTTCCTGCAACAGCTGAAATCCTGAACAATCTAATAAATTGCTTCCTTAAGACTCTACACACACATTCTAACCTTGACTGGTACATAACAACGGGTGATAAAACTTGGTCTCTCAGATGTATACGGTCTCCTTGTTTCCCAGCTCTGCCAACTTCGCAGATTTTTCTCAGATGAACACTGCCAACTCTCCGACGTCACCCAACACTGGAACACCAGCAGCTTCCAACACAGCCTCCGCAACCAACGATCTCTTTGATATGTTAGGATCAACGTCCCCCAAGTCCAACCCCATACAACCTATGCAAACAGCCCCCAACCTCATGTCATCGCCGGCTGCAGCCCCTTCAACCATGATGCCAGCCCAGCCTGCAATGGGGGCGACATCACCCATGATGAGCAACCCCCCGATGGGGATGGGGATGCCAGTTAAACCAGGGATGCCCATGGGGCCGCAGATGGGGGTGAGCGGGTTCATTCTTCGGAGAGCAATGTAGGCCTTGGTGTCACAGAACAAGGATGATGGTTCCATATGGATATACAACTTCTTTATTACGATGTATACGATGTTTCGGTGTAGATACTTATACCTAATGCTTGATAATGGTGTTAGTATCTACACTGAAACATTGTGTACATTGTAATAAAGATATATCCATAGAACTATCTCCATTGTTTGTCATACCAACTTCTAAATGCCACTTAAGGATGCTTGTCATAAGAGGCGAATAATGGGATCGGGTGGTCAGGCTCACTGACTTGGTTGATGCATGTCATTGTATCTCAATTGCATGGATCGATGCTCATGATGACAATCACTGGATTGTCTGGCCCAGACTTGATTATTTACAGACCGCCGTCATATAGCTGGAATATTGCCGTGTGCACCGTTAACAACAAACAAACAAAACTTGCGGAAGTTATCCATGGCATCACAGGTTCGTGCAACATCACTACACATTCCTGCCAAAGTATGATTTTGGTGGGGATTAATCTCACACAAATGTAAGCTGTCACACATTTTCAGTTATGAAATGCAAGACCAGTGGATATCTCCAAAGATACAAAAAGGAAGCTATCAAAGCAGCCTTTGAGAGATCTTGCTACAATTTTGTATATGACAATATTACCATGGTCCAATAACAATTCACATTACAAAGTGGATTATTCCGCAGTGCATGTTAGGAAGCACCTGATGCAAGTAGGTCATTAGAACATGTTGTCTGACCCAGCCTCTAGAGGCATGATATAGCTGGATTATTGCTGACTGCAGCATACAACAACACACAAATGTATGGAGGGCAGGCATCCTCTTGGGGGTTCCAGTGCAGAATAGAACCTTGAAACCTGCTTGGCGTAAGGGTCGACTAACGGGGGGAATGAAAGTGGGACTAGAATGACTGCTTAGCATTGTCTTGCCATTATTGCATATACTATCAAACACTGTTGATCTAGCATAGGCTTAGGTAAAATAGCTGTATGTGAGGAGAAAACAACTAGTCATTCAACTGGTACAAAAGTCTTGGACCAGCTGACTTGGGGCCTTGCTCTACCCATGAAATATGATAAGTTTTGTCAATACTTAATAGTTGGGGGTCACTTGACCATGGTCCTTCTTGGAAGTTTCCCGAGTTTTGGCAATTGTGACTGGTGTTTTTCAGATGGGTGGCATGGCCCCCGGCATGGCAATGCCAGGACAGATGCCGATGGGGATGATGCCAGGGATGTCGCCGCACATGATGGGCCAGCAGGTGATTACTGTAACATATAACTTCAGCGCAGCCATTGTCCAGTGATCCACTGCCTTGTCCTGATGCTCAATATTACCACGAGACTTCCTCTAACTTTATATCAAGCATTAACAAAATAAAGAGTATTGGTTTCTTTAAAATTTTGTTTCTTACTGTTAGGTCAGATAAATCTGATTTCTTGTTTTACATACCATCTTGGTCAGTAATACATGAAATAATATAAATTATTTTTAAGACTGTCAGTGTTTATTTGAAATTGTCTCAGAAATTCAAGTTTCAAGAGAAACACAAATCTAAAAATGTTTTTAGAAATATAGGGAAATGTTGTCAGTGAAACAAAGGAGGTAATTTGATTTTGACCAGTGGGAAATAAAAATAACGATAACCTCCATGTTTGGCAGTGTGTGGAGGCTGGGAAGCTCTCTGTGGTGATGTTTGTGCATGCTTGTTTTTTTGTGTGATCACTATTGAGGCTTCTGCATCACTTCTGTTTGGCTTTCTGTGATCCTGGTTTCTAGTGTGTTGTCAAAATGGAATAGAGATTATGCTTTGTTATAGTTATTATATGCATATCTGCTTTTGTATAAGTTTAACATAAATCATGTTAGGCTTAAAAAAGTAAAAGAATTGGTTCTCAGGCAATGACTTTTGAAAATATAGTCCGGATGGGCGGTAGTTTCTTGTCGTTGTTTTTGCTTGTTCAAACTAGTATGTAACCAAATAAACAGTTGTGTACCATCAACCCGGGAAAAGGCCTCCCTACATAAACATGCATACAAACAAGCAGGAAACATGCAGCGGACTTTATGATGATGCGGACTTTATGATGATGCGGAAGGTGCCTGAGAACCAAGACTATTATGTTTTTTAGCCTTATGTTGTACATGTTACAAACGAAACAAAATAATTTCTACTGAAATATGTCTGTTAAAATTTGTAATAATTTCATAGTTTTATAGAAATTGTGAAGAGAGTTTCCTTGGGCACGACATTAACCCCTAATTTGAAGAATATTTTGTCAGTACCTGAGAGTATATCCTAATGCTTCAGAATTCCTTGATAAACCATCAGTCTGTGTGAGGTTGATTCAATAACCCACAGCAAGGAAAATATTATGCACTTCACTCTAAGCAATCTGCCCTTTGTTCACGGTAATATTCTGTGGACATTTTTAACAGCCCAAGGAAGGTCTAAATGTTGTTGGTGCTAGTAGTTAGTCATCACCCTCTCCTCCCCTCCCCAGCCCATGATGTCGCCCATGGCAACGGGTATGATGCAGCCCATGCAGATGACTGGTGCAGGGTTTGTGCACTCCTCAATGCAAAAATCCATGTCCTCTTCCATGCAGGTAAGATGGTCGGCCCTTATCATGTATATCTGTTTGATGTTTAATATTGTTCTGCAGCTGAATATTTGTGTTCGTAATTAGTTGTGTGACTATTCAAGGATTTCTGCTTTGATTGGTTGATTATATAAATGGAAAATAAACAGTTTTAGTTGGTTTCTGTTGAGGTGAGTATGGCAGGTAATATGAAGGATATTGTCTAGTATGTCCATGTCTGCTTTAAAGCTATATTTATCAGACTTTTTTGGTGTTTCAGTTTGTCAGCTTTGCACATTGAATATAAACAGTATTGTGCTTTGTGTGACGCCTGTAATATATGTGTTTTAAACTTTAGTAGTTATTGGGATAATATATGTAACATTCAATCTGTATATGTTTTGGCATTGGTGGGAGATGTGAAATTTGGATGTTTACCATGGTAACTTGGATGTGTGAATTGGGAAACTTGGATGGTTGACATGGAAAATTTGGATGTGTGAAATGGTAAACTTGGATGGTTGACATGGAAAATTTGGATGTGTGAAATGGTAAACTTGGATGGTTGACATGTGGTAACACTGAGTTTTTAAACAGGTCTGACATCTTTCTTTTTTGTCCCTCTGTCATGTGGACAGTGTGTTTGTTGCATAATGTCAATTATGTTGAACATTAACAGCAGGAAAGAATCTTGATAATTCTTTGAGTTTAATCATTCATTTTCATTTTGATGATTAAACTTTATTTTGTTCTTTGTTAGCAGTAAATCATCCTTGAGTATTAGGACCAATTCATCACCAAGCACGGTTTCTTTGGTCACGTTGAATGGATGAATATGTCCACCCCATGTGCACCCCATGTTTTTTACCCAGTCTTCGAAAGTGCCACATTTCTGTTCATAATTGTTGCTCTTGGCTGTGCCAAGATCTGTTGCTCATCTTTCTCAGTCGCCAGATTTATTTTTATCCTAACTATGATTCTTGGTTTGTCAGCACTTTACTCATGGGAATCAAAAGAGTGATAAATGCATCAATTTTCAGTTTTCGAATTCAATGGGGGTCGTGGAGTCCTTGAGGTCCTTGCCTCTGGTATTGGTAAAGTCAAGAGTGCTTGTCATAACACCAATGTTAAGATTCTGGGTGTCCTAAACTATAGCAGCAAATAATTAGGGCACCCTTAATTTTGAACACTGGTTATAACAGCCTGGGTACTCAAGGATGATCAGCTGGAAAGAAAACTTTTGATATTTGGAAAGCTATGTTCTTTGATATATCATGGGTTTTTTTCTGAAATAACTGTAGAAAAGCTATAAACTTTGAGATGATAGGCTTTTGGGTTCCAAGGTTTAAGGGGGCAGGGGTGGCCCAGTCTGCTAAGGTGCCGTAATTTGCTGTGCAGAGTTACGTCCCTTGGGCATGCCCGAAACCTATGGTCGTGTCTTCAAATCACGGTTCGCCCCGGTTATGTTTCTATTTTGTCAGCACCATACCTGTGCTTGTGGGTTTCACCAAAGTGGTAAACGTCTAAGACCTGCATCACTGCGGCTTTCTTCCACATCAAGCTGACATGCTGTGACACAACTGGAACACTGTTCAAAGCAGTGTTAAACCCAGCTCACTTGCTTCAAGCTATTATACATCCTAATGTTCTTGTTAAGCCTCAGCTCCTCTTCTTCAGCTGAGAGATGGGAGATGCAAGACCTATGTTTCAGTTACTATCCATGACATTGACAACTGTGTAAAAACAAAGTCAATAAAGGACATGAATAAGTTTGCAGCAGGACATCATTTGATAAATGTAAAATAATATCGTATGAACCAAGAATCTTCACATTTATGCATCTACTTTTCTCTTGAAATGTGGCTATACACTTCATGGTATCGCATGAATCTGAAGTTCTGACAACAAAATGTACAATATTTTATACCCTTCTTGGTCTTTACAGTAAAACACCCCTTTGCATCTTCTGGAGGGGTGTGCTCGATATTTACGAGAACATAAAGTTTGTTTTTTCAATCCAAACTGATCAATGTAGAGATCAGTTTCAAAATGGCTGAGCCTAAGCATCACCGTAAGCTGATTCTATGTCTACCCCTTCTCTCACATTGTGTTTTCTGTACACGTCACTCAGGACACCTCAACCTCTGACCCTTCGTCAGCAGGGCCACAAACACCCAAGGTTTGTTTCTCTTTTTTTCTCACCCTTTAAACCCCAGCACATTCAGCAGATCAGAATACCTTGGCTTCAAGCAGTAGCTTCAGAAGTAAGGTGTCCGTGGATAATGAGGTACTCTCCGCAGTACTGCTTTCTGATGTAAGCTCAATTTGACCTTTACAAAAACAATTTATGAGTAATTGGGAATGTTTAATGTAACATTTTAGACATATCTATAAACCAGTAATATATATTTCATAAACCATCATTGCTTAATGATTTGAGAGAACAGGTCAGTGATTTTTAAAGATATACCTGTCTAAACATGTAATGCCAACATTTATAAGACAGGTGTTATCTTGAGCCCCCAGATCTTTTCTTTGATAATATCTGTTATTTTTTTAATAAATTTAGTTTGGTTGTGTAAAAGCCAAGATATGCTGATATTACTGCTCCACTTCTCATTTTTTTATGCATTTTGATTCAGTCATGCTGGTTGGCTGTAGAGTAGTCGCTTCTCAGTCTGTCACTGTCCACGTCCCCGCCCCTTTGTTTCTCTGTATGCTTGATGAACATGACAGACATTGTGTCTCCCTTTCTAAAATTATTTGGTTTACAGATCTTTTTGTTGGTGGTTGAAATTAAATTATTTATTTTATCTTTTTACTTTATTTTTGTTGATATTGAAATCGAAATTTTGATAACTTAAAAAGAAGTGTCTGTGAAAATTAATATAATTTTATTTTATTACTTAAATGGTGAAGTAAAGTGAGAATGAAATGAAAGAAATAGCCCTTGAGAATGACCAAGTCCAAGAGTTACTCCCTTCCTCTTTCGACCTACTTTGACAAACAACACAAAATAATGTTGTTTGTGTTCTTATATTGTGAAGTTTTGGTTTGGGTATCTGTAAACCAAATAGCATCATGGATGTTTTTACATGAGATGTAGGTCCTAGAGATGCGGAAGCTGTATGTTGCTGCAGGGCTCTTGACTTCATTGATATCGTGTCATATTGAATTTTGTACTGTAGGTGACATTTCAGAGTAAGCATGTTGACTTGAAAGGCTAGAATAGTAGGATATTTGTTGCATCTACCTTTTGAGTTGTACAATCCAGTGTTTCAAGATGCATGAAAGAAGATGGTTTGACATGATTACAAATTATGGCTATCCACTGTATAGACTCATGTAGCTTGTGAAACTGTACTTCTCCAAAAAACTCATGCAACAAAGATCCCTTGGTCAAAACCCTGCTTACTGAATAGTACATTTACTAAAAGCGAGTCCCCTGTGTTGATTCAGGGTTTGAATAGATCCACAGTATAGTGTTGCATGTCAGGGACATAGATCCGGTTGTCAGGCTTGGTGACCTGGTTGATTGTGTCATTGTACACTGCCTGTGTGGAACATTGCTCGTGTTATCAACCACTTGTTACTTAGCTAAGCCCTGTGACCACAAGCGTATAATGTGTCCCCAGCACCCAATTGCTAGTTGTAAGAGGTGACTAAATTTGAAATCTGCTCCAGGATTCCTCGTTGCTCATGATATCAATCACTGGATTGTCTAGTGGTATATAGCTGACTCTGCAATAAAACAACACACTCTGGTCAAAACCAATGATTAAGTATGCATGTGCAAGGAAAAGCGGAAATCAATGGTATTACCTCGCACTCTAATAGTTGTGAAATTTGTTACGTGTTAATTTATTTTGACAGGATGGGAACTTAAAAGATTATTGATCTGGCCACAGTATTTCATGCCATGGAATAACAGGCAGGAAGGTCTCTGGAACACTGCCTTTGCATCTTGATAAGTGCTATACACTGTACAACTGTGTCGATATGCATTCTGTGATTGTTTGCATGTGGTTTGCTGTAGACATAAGGTCATTGTCTGTTTCAATGAAAGTGTGGATGCCAAGAAGGCACATGTTAGATTCAGTAGATGAAAATATCTTAACTCTTAACGAAATGTCCTGTGTTGTGGGCTGTCAATCAGTGTTTATTGTGTTGTGTTTGATTTCTGAGGCAGATATGGGTAAGATATACCTGTAATTGACTCCTTCCTGTTAAACCCCATTTCACCACACCTCAACTGTTTCAGATTCTTTCCATGCTTAGTAAAACTTAAAATTCAACAAAGATATTAGTTTGTTGTAAGCAAGTTTGAACACTTTTGAGTGTGAAGTATATGGTAGTATTAGAAAATTATGGTAATCAAACAACAATGATCAAAGTTCCTTTTATTTTCAGTGTTTCACTCTCTTTTTGTATTTGTCTTTGGTATTCGGTGACAGATTTAACCTGACACTTAGCCTCGTCTTTCACACGCTATCTTACACTGAAGCGGGAGCTGGTGGTAGTAGGGATGATCAAACCTGTTGGTCAGTTAGCTTGACCGTGCCATTGACCTCATGTATGTCATTATGATACATCATACCCCAGATGCTTGTTGTAAGAGTTGGCTGAAATGAGTATTGGGTGATCAATGTTGCCTTGGTTATTTATTGTGTGTCATTGTATCCCAATGGCATGGATCTGTGCTCATACTGTCAACCACTGGTTGACCTGAGCCAGACTTACTGTTATGTCTAAAATATTGCTGACTGCGGCATTAAACAACATTCGCTTATTCATCTGTTATTAGTGTAAATAATGTAAATATAATTGAATTTTGCATATTTTATCATGAGAAATTCAAAATAATGACAGCTGTGAGTATTAATTGATGTTATTCACTATATCTTAGAGAGACTTTGAAAGTGCAGAGAGCTTATATTAATGTAAAGATCTTAATTGTCCGAACTTGAAGACTTCTTTAGAGACCAGTTGTCTTTTTCTTTGTGCACTAGAACATGTAGAATACTAAACCGTTTCCTTTGTTCAGTTTTACAATGTGAATACCATTAGTTTTGCATCCTCATTCTTAAAGAGGAAGATTGTGTATTATGTGTCTACAATGGCGACTACCAAAGAACATGCTCATAGATTGTAGACGACCTAGAATATCAACTCTTGGCTATAGCCTGACTGTATCACAATTCCCTGGACCAGGCAGTATGTGTGGCCCTGGTAACTGGTTTGGTTGGTCCAGGCCTCTCTGATACAGCTGTCATAATGCAGATTATTGTGAAAGCTCCTCACTCATCTATATTTCCTGTATATGTGCCGGGCCGCGGCTGGCATAGCTGTCTATGTCGCGTTGTGTTCCTTAGGATGGCCAGAAAGTTATTATCATGGGTTCGAATCCCAAATTTGCCCTGATTACGTTTCTAGGTTTGTATAAGCACCATACCTGTGCTCGAGTGTTTCACCAAAGTGGTAAAAGTCTAAGTGGTAAAAGTCTAAGACGCCCATCTCTTTCCTCCCCATCAAGCTGACATGCTATGATGTAACTGAAATATTTTGTAAACTCACTCACTGTATAAGAGCTTTTCTACTTTGTCCCATTTTTAGTGGTCATCACCATGGACACTGCTAGGGTAAACATAAACTGGTGCATCATTAATGGAGTTTTGTACAATCAGAACAGACTTTTTAGGGAGTAATTGTTTCAGAAGCCGAACACCTGGTCTGAGTCAAAGGTAGACATAAGCCTGGACACCCTCAACCCAGCGAACCGGTTCCAAAAGCAGGCCCAGCCCAGCATGAACCAGCTACAGCAGCAAGGCATGATAGGATCAGGTGGGCACCATAGTAAATTACAACTTTAGTTTTGTATTCAGTTCAGTAGTAAAAATTTGGGCCCTGTTCCACAAAACGATCATTGTGCTAAGGTGATTGTAACTCCCATACTTCTACATAGACTTGTGAGTGTTGTAGCGCTATGATCGCTTTGTGGAACAGAGCCCAGGTCTTTGGTCAGTGTTCGAAACTTGTCTAAAAATCACCTTGAAACGACTGTTTGTTTAGTAAAATAGATATGGTTCTTTCACAGAAATTTTTACCAAGTCCTCATGTAAGAAATGCCAATTTCACACTTTTGACATATTCAAACACTGCTTAAGACCTGATAATTAACATCATGGAGGGTCAGGTCATGGATGTTTCTTTGAGACTTGAAATTATTATTATTTTCCCTCTGTATTAACAAAGTTGTTAGCTGTAGAGCTTTGTAAACTGAACTGGCTTACATGTGTGTATATTAGAAAATAACTTAACATGCTTGCTTATCTAACCCACTTTGACTACATTGTTGCCAATTATCTTGTTTTGGCTAAATTCGCTGTGCAGAATTCCATCTCCCAGTGATCTTAAGACGTATGATAGGCACCTATGTATGCAGAGTTTACTAACAAGGAGCAACCTGTAGTTATGCAACTTAAAGACAACAATCTCTTCTCATTGTCAATACTTCACTGGTTTTGTGTGCACTCTTCCTCCATCACCTGTGAATATATACAGACGAGTAGTGACATATGGCTATTTTTTTTCAACAAAATGAGACCGTGCATAACTCTCGGATGTCAAATAAGCCCTCCTACTTCATGCATAACTTTTTGCTGAATTTTTCGTTACTTGGTATTGAAGCAATGTGTAGAGCAGACGGTACTTGTATGAAAAATATAAACGTAATATGAACGCTCATTGGGCTGAACAATTTCAGGTATCTCTCGCTAGAACCAGGCCATGCCTTGATTCATTGGTTAAAAATACCAACTACAACACAATTTGTCCATATGCATTCATAGGTGATGGAGAAACGTAGGGTATACAAACTTGTATGGTGTTGCCAGTGTGTCCTCAGGGGGATCTAATGTTGTGACTGTCGTAAGTCTGGTTAAAATGTTGAGTTGTAGTACTAGGGCCCCCCGACTGGTTGCGTGGAGGTGTCTAACCGTCACTGTCTCGCTTCTCTCCCAAGGTGTTGTAATCTGGTACCCTGAGATAAACTACACAGGTCTGTACACAGGGTCGGCCAACGTTCATGCATGTGTTCAGTATGGCAAGCAGGGTTGATATATGTGTGTGTGTGTTACTCTATTCATGTGTCTCATTCATTGTCATCAACACAGCATTTGGAGCAAGTTCCATCTGTAAAATACACACTTTGGTCAGTCAGAGAATAGACTTATGTATACATCAATTAGTCTGTGACTTTCGCCTCTAGTATGAAGCCCTGGTCTTGTAAAATGTCTTTCAGTCAAGTAAGCTCAGCTAAACTGTATGCTCATATCCTAACAATAACATTACCTCAAGATGATGTCCAGTTCAGGCTAGTCGAAAAATGTATTTTTTGCAGAAACTGGTATTATATTTCGAAGAATTGGTACATCATACTTTTTTCCCCATTTTGAGATTATTTATTTTCCGTAACTGATGTCAGTTTGGCTGATTGTCTTACCCTTAGAGATCACCAGATATTATTAAAAGAAACTACCAGGTCATGTTAGGGTTCTTATGGACAGAAAATCCTTTTAAGATTACCCGGTAATTGTCAATGGAACAACAATTATGGAAGCATTCAGAATAAATGGAAATTCTTACATCTTGGAAGCTTAATTTTTCACTGGGAATAAAATAGTCTGCCAGAAGTTAGAGTTAGAGGTGCAGTTTGTTCATTTGGGAAAGAAGACGTTATAGAGAACATTACATAGAACAGGACCCAATCTCATTAAAATCACATTTTTCACTCCGATTCGATACCTGTCTTTGTCAAGATCTGTGGACACCGTCTTAAGTCAGAAAATAACAGAGCAAACTTTGACAGTCCAATCAAAATGAAGGATGCATGGGTTCTTGAGACAGTCAGATGTCAGCTTTCCAATCAATTTAACTTCATTTCTATTCCACGTCAATTTTGCAAATTTTGATCTTTATCAAATATAACCGCCACCGAACACAAATGTTCCCTTGATAGCACACCCTTTTGGGTGTACCATGGCGCTTATATTCTATTAAAATTGTTTTCAAGATAAAGAAATCAGATATGCTTGTCTGAATACCTCGCTCACTAGTACGGAGAATTCAGAATCCTTGACACTGATTGGCTAATTAGGAAGCTTACCTGACTTTGACCTCCCATGGAGATGTCATCAAATCTTCACGCAAAGAGGTACCGTATCAGTGTAAAAGATTTTATTTTAATAAGATTGGACATGAACAAGCTGAGAATGGATGTTTTTGCATGGAAATATGCATGCCATGGACCAACTGCTCCTGTCCTGTCCAATGCTTGGAGAGGGGACTGAATATATCCTACCTTCATCTCTCCTCACTTTAAAAATTATCCAAATTTCATTTTCTATCTTCGCTCACCAGATCCTTCAAGACTATGGATGTGATGTATCTGCACCTTGCTTGCTCTCTCCCTCCTCACATATATAACCTGCATGACATGATATTCCACAACTGGAATGTTTGTTATCTGTTCGTGTCTTCAATACTGGGTTTTCTCCATATCCTGTGAATACATACGGCTGATATCCGGTGTACCAGTGATGTGTTTATTGTTTGTACTCTTATGAAATGAGGCCATGTAAAACTCACAAGACTAAGGCTGCTTCTTGACTGGATGGCTTCATGCTAACCCTACCATTGCCTGTATTGAAACAATGTAAAGAGCAGATGGCCGCAGGGATGTTGCAATCTAAGCAATCAGTGGTTTCCCGCCTGTTTGAACCAAGCCATGGCTTGATACATTGTTTAAATGTAACAACTACACCACAAGGCTGCCCTATGTATTCACCATTGATAAAGGAGCATGTGCATACAAACCCATAAAGTATTGAGGAGGACGATATGTTTATGGTTTATGCATTATGTACCACCAGTTTTTCAAATTTATATGGGGAAAAGGCATTCACCATCAATAGTATTTGTACTGTGATCCTATACATCTGGAAAGCACCGGAATATGTTGAAAAGGCTCTCTCGTTTTACACATGCACATTGAATGCAGAAGCAAGAGCAGTATTATGTCAGTTGCTATGACTACAGCACACTCTTCTCACCAAGCACCTGCAGCAATGAAGCAGTGGAGATGTTAACACAGGACCAATTCACAAAGTGATCACGGTAGCAAGAATGCAGGGATTTAACTGCACATGCTCACAGGCCGATATTTGGCCCAAAGTCTGAAGCAAATGTCAGTAAATACCCCTAAATTGCTATTAAAAATTTCCTTGTTCAAGTTATAGTAATAACTAACATTATGGCATTTTACAGGTGATTTGTATTTCACTGACAAATCTGAGCAAAATTTGTGCAAATTTTGTTTTGTTATTATTTTTTATTTTTTCCAAAAATTGTAATAATTACATTTCCAATGTCAATACAGAGTTGTAATATTAATCAGTAAATGTGTAGGGATATTATGGTATTATCAAGTGTAAATCCATAATTCATCTGTGAATGGTGACATCCCTAGATCACAGTGTTTCTACGACTGTTTCAGTGTTAAAGTATATGAGTTGATTGGTATATGATCCTACTGCTACGATCACTTTGTGTAATGGGTCCAGGCCTGCAACACAGCTGACTGGGTTTATTTTCCCACTTGAGTGACTTTTTCATCACCCAGTTGCTCCATGCTTATGATCAATGACTGATCTTAACTTCGTGGAAGGTTGCAAGCCTGAATGGTGATACTAGGGAACACTTCAAATCAAATTTACACTGACCCAGAAATCCCATGACATGAGATGTACTGTGAGTCTCGTGTTATTCAGCCTGACACCTCTCCTGATAGTGTGGCTTGTTCTGTTGAAGGTATGGGGGGAGGAGGTTCACCCTCTGGGGGCATGTACCCCGGTCAGAGTCCGGCCATGATGGGGGGGATGTCCACACTCAACCAGGGCATGGCCAACATGAATGTCGGGGGACCTCCCCGGATGATGAGCCCACAACCCATGATGGGACAAGGTATGTAGCATATTGTGGTATGCAGGGTGATTGTTGTATGTAGCATATTGTAGTTTATTACCCATAGGGTTGAAGTTTTTTGTGTGCAAGTATCACTTCTCGCGCACCAGTGTATTGTTTCAGTCATCCAAATGGCATTGTTGACGTCATTCGGGTCTTATTGTGACGCAAGGTCAGAATGACATCACACTAGAAATGACATCATAGCTGAAGATTGTTGATGTAATTCGGCAAAATGTGTTTTTTTCTAGGACAGCGGTGGTGATCAATGGATTTTTTAAGGTCTCTCTGTCAGGAGCTACCGATCACAGATTTTAATCCCAGAGTTGTCATTATTTTTGTCAATAAACACCTTACCTAGCATGGATAGGTGTCTGCCTGGAGAGCGGAAGGTCAGTTGTTCAATACCTTGGCTGCACCATGTCAAAAAGACATTAAAAGATGGAACTTGATGGTACATGCCTGGTACTTGGCATTAAGGAGATAAAACAAAAGATATGTACGCTCCTTATCTGTATATAGTGGGGAGTCCATGTTAAACTGCAGCATGGTATCTAAGTGGACTATAAAACCGGCATTATGAGAGAAATAATCTTGACTGTAGTTAAACCCAATTTTACCTCAACTTTCCTGCACTATACTGGTGCTCATTTGTTTCACTAATCTTCTTGGGCATTCAAATAAATATTGCCATTCATAACATCAGTTTTATTCTACTGGTGAACGAAGGAGAATGCATGATTCGAAATGTCATGTATGACTTCAGACCATCTCTTGGATGGTTATCCCCATGTAAATCAATCCTCGCTTGCGGTAACAGGTGACTATGCTTGTCGTAAGATCGATCCTCGCTTGCGGTAACAGGTGACTATGCTTTTCGTAAGATCGATCCTCGCTTGCGGTAACAGGTGATTATGCTTGTCGTAAGATCGATCCACGCTTGCGGTAACAGGTGATTATGCTTGTCGTAAGATCGATCAACGCTTGCGGTAACAGGTGATTATGCTTGTCGTAAGATGCAACAAGCATGATCGGCCAGTCAGGTTTGCTGACTTGATTGATGCATGTCAACATATCCAAACTATGCTCATGATGTCCATCACTGGTCTGGTCCAGTCCAGATTCGATTATGTACAGAAAGACATCATGTGGTTTGAATATGGCTGTGTGTGGCGTTGAAACCAACAAATCTTGTATGGTTATTAATTGCATACCCTTCGGATTATAGGCTAGAATAGGTCCCCAGCACCCATTGTGTCATTGTACACCAACAATGTGGATTGTTTCTCATAATATCAATCACTTGATTGTTTTGTCCAGCCATGATTATTTTCAAGTTGCTGTCATTTAGCTGGAATATTGCTGAGTGTGACATCAGTCAACAAGCAGTATTAATGTCCCTCCATCTGTTTCCAGGAATGAGCATGCAACAAGGGATGATGGGAGGGATGCCCCAGGGCAGCATGGGGATGCAGAGCACCACCGTGTCGGGACAGTCGACGTTCCAGAAGCGCACAGACTCCGCCTTCGCATCCTTCGGCAACGTCAAATAGTGTAGCCCACCATCACCATCAGTCAAATAGTGCATCCATAGTCATACTTACATCACTTACACATATACACCCATCCAGAGATATCATTCGTATCACCCTCCTAGGCCTATTTTCTATATAATAGTACAGTGACAATTTTAAAATTTATATCTACCTGTCATATTATGAGCTCTTTAATAACACAACATCCTCGATAAACCATGATTACATCCATTCTATTATGATAAGTACCCTGGATCCCTTCATCAACGTAGCTTTGTTTCCGAAGTGATGTTTACCTCCATCTCTCTTATCACCAACTTTGCCCCAAATTTCTCTTGCTCATAAGCTTGATATCAGCAACCCAAATCCCTCTTCTGAACACAGTTTCAGCCTCAATCTACATTCAAAACCTGGTCTCATCTGAATGAGGGTATAATGTATTTGATCCATTTAGATACAGTTATAAACTAACACTTAACTTAAGGTGTTCTTCTGTTTTTATGACTGGGGAAAGAAGTCCTTATGCTACAAGACCTATTTGAGACAACTCGAAAAAATCGAGTTTAATACTGACCACGGTGATAGCACTGCTTGTTTCAGTCACACTGTAATTTGCTTTTGAATGTCTTTTTCATGTCATTTGAACCAGATCGAAAACAAAGATGGCAAATGGGTCCAGGGTAATTGTCGTTATGGAATGGAGATTTAATACACTGCATAATCGAGGATGCAGACACAGTGGTGTAGTCGTATGTGTTTTGCCTTATGGGTATGTCATTTAGCACAGCTGGAACAGTTTCTATCTAATTATATGTAGATGTATCGATATTTGATATGTGTTAGATCTTTAATCTTTATACAAGTTTTATACATTGAAGTATTTTAAGTTTAGTAAGATTATTAAGCATAACATCAAAATGTTAAATGAGTGTATGTAAAACTGTGGCTGTGGAGCTTGTTTGTATGAGCAGGGCCAAATAGTATTCTGATTTCTGATTGGTTGGTGTCATGGGGGCATATATTTCACCCACCTGTCACATTGTGACAAACATTGGCATCACATTTTGCTATATTTTTACTGGACTCTTGAAACAGAATCATTGCTTTGGTATGGTGCAGTCTGGATTTTATTAGGTTATAGGGCCTTTGGTTAGGTGCACACAGATACATTCCAGAATGTTGTCGTATCGATTCTGTCTTACATGCCATGTTTTAAATAACATTTAAGGAACAAAATAGATACATGCTAGGATAAGGCGCCGTTGCAGTTAAAAAAAGAATAATTGTAGAATAGGTCCTCAGTAACCCATGCTTGTCATAAGAGGTGACAAACGGGATTGGGTTGTCAGGCTTGTTGACTTGGCTGATGAATGTCATCGTATCCCAATTGCATGGATCGATGCTCATGATATCAATCACTGGAATGTCTGGTCCAGATTTCATTATTTACAGACAGCCTTTATATGGCAGAAATATTGCTGAGTGTGGCGTTAAACAACAAACAAACAAATATTGTTTGCTGTAAAGTTGCTCGAGGATGAGGATCTGGAAATGGCTTGTACTTGTAGAGCTCATCGTATCAAAATGCACCTTTTATCATTTGCCACAATTACATATGCTCTTTTAGCCCAATGCCAAATTATTTGTAAACCACATGACACATGCTGTAATCTGCTGAAGATTATCTTCCAGTTTTCTATTCTACCAAGATTTTGATTTATAAAAATTCCATGTTGCCATGGTAACAGATGTACAGATTAGTTATTGTGGTAGAGGGGCTGTGTATTTGTCGAAGCAAAAGAAAGCAAAGTTTTAAGATTGATTAAGCCAAATAAATTGTTTTAAATTTTTTTTGGCAAAAATGAAAAACATACAAGTTGTTGTTTGATTAAAAATATTTTTAACATTTTTTTTAAAGTTTGTTGAAACTATATTTCAAAAAGGTTTTAAGAAAGTATCCTAAATTCAAACCAGACAACATATTTGAGTTTTCTAAAGTTCGGCTCCTGTCCATTTGGTACAGGTATATTGAGACAAGAAAATCAATAACACATTTATTTTGGCCTGTCATTGATTACCATTAGAAACAGGTTCTCAAAACGTAATTTACTCTGGTTTGGTAGTAGTTAACACAGCATTTTATGAATTGTCAGCACTCAAACACCTTCATGAGAATTGGATCAGAACTTTTAACAATATGTTCTGTTACACTACAATACTGCCTGCAGTTTGGGATAATTCTGTGTTCTACACAGCCTCTGTAACTAATTCTCATTCCTTTCAACATATATTTCAATATTAATATTTGCAATATTCCTGTGTTCAGATCAGACAGCACATTTTGCATATTCTAGACATTGAAGACAAGCATTTAGTTACTCTTGGTAAATATGACAGACTTTCTTCATAGCATTGTTATTTTTTGCTCAAATGTGTGTTATCTCAATGGCCCTATTTCTCACAGAGTGTAGGGATAAAATATATTTATTGCATACTAGTGATAGGTATGAATGAACTTTGTATAATGTGATTATTGTGGGATGTGTATTAGAGGTGTTTATGTATACATGGCAAGAAGACATTTTACCCGGGAAGTCTCAACTCGGCAATTCTCCAGGCATTGGGATATTTATATCATCACTAGTAGATACATTATTTGTATAAGTAACATCGTCCAGTACTTAACTTCTAATGTTTCTTGGAATTGGGGTGACAAACTGATTTTCAGTGCTTTTAATTTGCTTTTAGCTTTAAGTAAATCTGAGGTTTCATCACCAACCACTTCATGCTGTTTGACATATTCTACACCTTTTCAAGCAATTGTTATAAGGCGACTATCGGGATCAGGTGGTCAGGCCTGTAGACTTGGATACATGTCATCGTATCCCAATTGTGTGGATCGATGCTCATTATATCAACCACTGGATTGTCTGGTCCAGACTGGATTATTTATAGACCGCTGTCATATAGCTGGAATATTTCTGAGTGCGTCATTAAACAACAAACAGACAATTGCAATCAATACTTGGTAGAGGTTCTAAAATGCATTGTATAAACCAAGGGAGATAACTCCTAGATAGACAGGCCGTGGTTTCTTTTTTAAGTTTATTGTGTAAGCAGAAGGAAAAAGAGCTTTACTCAGCTCCTATGCTGCAGTGTTAAAGTTCACCATGTCAAGTGTGTATTAGTGAGTTTAGTACCAACAGTACAACTAGAAACAGGTAGCCTATGTCACACAGCACCAAGCCTTGTGTTAGAATAATTCACCTGCAAGGCTTGTGGACTCTCGATACAATACATGATTGGGGATTGTCACAATATCCAATGATATTTACAAGTTGTGCGGTAGTATGTACATTGTCAAGTAAACTGAATTAATCCAGGTTTGGTCCAACTGACCAGATTGGCTACATCTCAAATTAAAGCAATGGCCTATATCAGTGGGCTGGATGAAAAGACTTATTCTTTTTCTAATGCTCAAATTAAGTGAATAGAAGACTTTAACTATAGACAGTGGCTTTTGGATGATGATGTTGATGCCATGTCCTCAACACTTGCTAGGACATAGTTTCAAACCGTATTGTATCGAGGGTCCTACATTGTGATTTGTATCTATAACTTCAGATATGGTAGCATCCCAGATGTAGTCAATGGTTGTTTTGTGGGTTTCTGAACTGACATAGTTTAATGTTCAATTCTGTAGTTGTGATCAGTAATGACAATTTTGCAAGGACATATCACTTAGTGTTACAGTGGGGTCTGACAGTGGAGATATGTAAACAGATTTCAATACATGGCATCTGACTCTTATTTAATGGATAATCTCCAGTACAGGGATGACATTATCTATCTACAGCACTTACAGAACAAGTGCTGGCGTACAGGGCCCTATTCCACGAAGTGATCTTAGTGTAAGGTGATCGTACCATAGCCTTACGAACGTTGTAGCACTAATATCGCTTTGTGAAACAGGGCCCAGGTCTAGAATCCTTACCCATGTTCCATGATAAACTACAATACTCAGAAATTAAAGGAGTTTCAAGATGTGGGTCATTTTTTTTAGTCCGTACGACACACTTGAACTAAGTTTTTTTTTAAATAACCTAGCATCTGGATGCTTCTATCTATTTATAGCTGTCCTGTAAATGTGTTGCTTTGTGTGTACAGACATCTGTGTAGTCAGAATGTATATTCAATCGAAATAAAAGAACGGACCGTTGTATCTTCATATAGGTAAGTGTTAAAATTTATCCCATTTACAATGAAGGGAGGTCACTCTATTTCTTGCTTCATATTGGAGCAAATAGATTTTTAGTTAATCGGTCTGTTGACATTTTCTCCCGTCTGTTGCAGATTTTAATGACAGTTGTTTCTGTACATTGTTCTTCAAGTCCACCATCCAGAATTACATATATATATTCAGCTGAAATGTGTTGGCCATTTCATATTACTTCTTGTTTCTCAGAAAGCATGCTCACTCTGTGGAGATTTTAAGTATTATCTTTCTCTTGGATAATTATTACTGTTGGAAATGTCAAATAGCAAGCATTTTCCCAATATGCAACTGACTGTAGCTAACTTAAAAACTATTCAGATGTGTTTTTTACTCCAATTTGTTACCTGTCCTGAGTGATAAAAAGTTCATCCTGAAAGCTTACACAATGATCCTCGGAGTAGAGTGGAAATGTCCATGTCATCCCATTCTTTTTATCATAATTCTAGAGCAAGGTATATCGCTTTGCTTGCTTTGATATATCAAACACAGTGGTGTACGAAAGTTGTGAATTTTCATTCCAAAATTAGTGAGATGTACATAAATCCTGATGTTAGTACATACCTAGCGACAGTTGTTTGTACATGGTTCTGTTGTTGATTATATGTTTTATATGGAAGTGTATATAGCATCACTGTTAAGACCTCAGTTGTGAGGTCTGTGTGTATATGTACTGATACAGAGTAAACATGTTATGTAAAGAGATCATGGCTTGTGTTGTTCTTGTTATGTGGGGATTCCTTTGTCACAGATGACTAAAGATATATTTGGACACCATATGATACAGGCCTGAGTGAGTGAGTGAGTTTGGTTTTACACTGCTTTTAGCAATATCACGGCAGGGGAAATCAGAAATGGGCTTCACACATTGTACCCATGTCAGGAATCGAAACGGGTCTTCGGCGTGACGAGCAAACGCTTTAACCACAAGGCAAATCGACTGCCCAACAGAGGCCTGAAAGTAATCAAGTCTGGATTACAGTGATTGATAGTGTGAGCAAGATTCTTCACCAGTAGGATATGATAGGTTCGGTGACAAAGTTAATGACATGCTATCACCCTATCCATTGTTGCTTCCTAAGACAAGCAGAAGCTGCTTAGGGCCAATTCTAACCCAGCATCGCCAGTCTATCAAAAGAGGATTGGTTGGTCAGACAATGCGACTTGACTGATTATGTGTCATTGTTCCCTTGTACAGTCCGTTTGATTCCATCTGGGACCGATGAATTGCTCACTAACTCAAAATCTAATAATTGCAACAAAACCAAAATGTGCACAGCGACATGAATTGGACAGACTAACTCTGATGGTTTGTCTCATAATTTTGGACACCCGAATAAAAAAATTGTTTAACAAACTATCATCATTTTTTTGACATTTTTCGCCATCCCATACCAGGGAGGACCAGTCCATCATGGAACTGCCAGGTAATGAACAAGCATGTGCACCGTATATGGGGGTCATCTCAAAAGCCGTTTTGGGTGTTCAATCGGAGTCACTGTTGCAGGTTTCTGAAGCCGTGACAGTGCATTCGGAATCGGTGTCGCTGTTGTCCGAATCGCTATCGCCGCTGTCCGAGTCTACCCTGATGATCACTGGCTTGATTGTGGCATGGTCCAATCCACTATGATCCCAATAATGTCTCTCTATTTCATTCTCAACTTTTTCAACACACTTTTGCCATGTTTCCTGCGTGATGGTGTCTATTGATTGTTGAAGCAGTTTCTGTACATCCCGCAGTTTGAATGTTGTATTTTGCCTGCCAACATCCGATATAATGATACCCCAAATTAGTTCTATTGGGTTTAAATCGCAATGATAGGGCGGCAATCGCAAAACTGAATGGCCATGTTCTTTAAGATACTCGTCAACTTTAAAGACAGGTGTGGTTTTATTAGACTTATAAATATCATACAGAACAGGTTTCGTTGCTTTTTGTGGATACGGTATTGCTTTGTGTGTCAACCATTCTATCATATCGCCCTTCCTACTGTTAGACGTTAGGGCTTTTGTGTTAGGTACCTGAACGCCATGATATGGAGCATTGTCCATGACAACCAGACTCTTGGGGGGCAATACCGGTACCAGTTGAGTTTTAACCCATTCTAGGAATACCGCTCCGTTCATTTCGGTATGATAGTCTCGGTTGTCCTTGGATTTTGCCTTGAAGACTAGCGAACAGCCTGGTAGGAATACCCGACTCTTGCAGCTAGCATGGAGCACAATAAGCCGCTCACCCTTGCCAAGTGGCAATTTTCTGGCACAGAAATCCGAAGAGGAGCTAGGGAACCATTGTGTTCCTGTGGTATGGGAAGCGTTTACCCACGTATTGTGCGTAAGAAATGGTTCCTTAGTCGAACAATATCAGACCTCTCGCATAATTCATGTCTATTTTCGGAGCCTTCTTTTTTGTAACGGAAACCAATTTGGTGTAGCAATTTCCGTAACTGATATTTTGAAATGGTCAAAGAATGATTTGTCTCCATATATTTTTTAGAGTACAGAGAGAGACATAGATATTTTGTTTATACAGAGTCCTAATGGCGTTTCTAACCATCTCTTGTTGAAATGAATCGACTTTAAAACATCGCTTGGGTTTTGAGATGGTCCCCTCAGGTGTGTGTCACTGCAGGTTGAATCAGTACACTTTTTTAACATAGCTTTTAACTTCCCTTCTGTTATCCCAACTGCACGTGCAGTTCGTAAACGATACTTTCTAAAAGCATATTGTGGTCTACCTCTTTCACATTCTTTTTTTAAAAATTTGAAGACGTTGCAAATAATTGACTTCGCGTCGAGTGATGTTCTCATTGTTTCAGGTATAGCAATCACGCATCTATGGTTTGCTCAGCAAGCCTTACGTCACTTTCGCGCATGAAACTCTCCCGCCTGGCTGTTCTATGAGCGACTGGTCCTCCCTGGTATGGGATGGCGAAAAATGTCAACAATATGAGGATCGTTTGTTAAACAATTTTTTTATTCGGGTGTCCAAAATTATGAGACAAACCATCAGAGTTAATCTGTCCAATTCATGTCGCTGTGCACATTTTGGTTTTGTTGCAATTATTAGATTTTGAGTTAGTGAGCAATTCATCGGTCTCAGATGGAATCAAACGGACTGTAGCATGGATTGTTGTTTTCAGTTTGGTCTGTGGGTTTCCAGGTTAGAATAGGTCCCCATCAACCCATGTTTGACGTATTAAAGAGGTGACTAAATGGATCAGGTGGTCAGGCTCAGTGAGTTGGTTGGTACTGTACTGGTGGACAATTATCAGTCACTGGATTGTCTGGTCCAGACTCCATTGTATCCAGCCTCCTCTTGTACCCATGTGTGGCATTAAACAGCAAACAAACAAAACAGTCTGGCCCAGAGCTGGTTAATTACGGGGGGCCATGATACAAGTGCAAGCAGACAGAGACACACACACGGCCATGCATGTCACTATATAAGTTCAATAATCTGGACACGACGTTAAACCCCATTTCACTTAACTTACAGATACAGCTGGAGTATTGCTGCCACATTAAACAACCTTCACTCATTTGAATCATGATGCAACATTTGTAGGCCAGGATATTTGCATCAGTTTACACTAACGTTGTCCAAGAGGATCTGGAAACAGTCCATCACAGTAGGTGAGGTGAAATTGGGTTTAACATCGCGTTCAAGATTATTGCACTTTTACATGCACGTGTGTGTAGCTGCTTGTACTAGTCCGGACTGATGCCGATTTATGGTGCTAGTTCACTGAGATACCCCACTTAGACTCCGAGCCTTGTTTTAGCCCCCTAATGCTGAGCACCAGACAGGGTGACAAGAAGTACCATCTTTTAACGTCTTTTGGTATGACGAGGCCGTGCATCGAACCCGGGCGGATGCTCTACCACTTAAGCACGGAGGTGGTCCCGTCACAGTCGTCGGAGTTTTTAGTCCAGATGAATTCACTATGAACAGTAGCATCTGTATTAAGAGAGGTTCAGTGTATTCCAGCTGTCACAGCAGTCTGTAAATAGTCTGGTCCAGGCTGTGTGACAAGTGGTTGATAACACGATCAACAATGAGTCTGTCAGGTCAGACGTTATGAACACTCAACAACCAACAAGGATGGGTGCTGGAGAGCCACCATGTCATCACAGACAACCATACATATCATTGATTATTTGTAGTGTGTAGTGGTGTTTGTAGTGGTCAGGGACCACATACAATGTATTTGATCCAAATCAGACAAATACCATGAATACAGAAATTAAGCTGATTCGGCCCTGATCCATCAAATCTGTAAGTTGCAAAATAACAAAAAATGTCACGTTAGTTGAAGCCAGAAAAGCTACAAATCCCAGGCCTATATTTGTTCCACATAATGAACGACCCTTTGCTTCTCACAATACAGAACAAACACACACAAATACATTATCTATTTTACTAGTTGCTAAATATATTACAGTCTGCTTCAAGGCAGCCACATTGCATATTAGTAACATAGCACATCCAACTTCGAAAGGTATCCACATGTTCTTCATCGATGTACAAGAATATTGCTATGAAACCAGTGATTTCTGCATCCTTTCTGCATCGACCTTCACCAGATGATCCCCCTCCAACTACTCCTACCCTGCTTCCTGCTAAACAAACTTGAGGACAATCACACCCTGACAACCATACCCAAGGACTGCATTATCCATGTAGTTGATAACAGCAGGGGTGGAAGGTTTGCTATTTGGCAACAGTGCACTGGCTCACAGACTTATACACGTAGAGCATTAACACGACGTGCACCTCCGCAGTCCCCTGTTCAATGGACATGAACTATTCCGTTGCAAGACGAAAACCTTCTGTCCCAAAACAGTTTTCACGCTTACTTTTCTGAAGTCTGTTTAGCAACAAGTTCTACTGATTTCCATTGAATCAAGACACCATATCACCATGTGTAAAAAGGTGTTCAAATATATTAAATGTATATTAGTGCTGCTTCAGAAACAAAAGCCCCCCAAAATAAGAAGTCCAAAATGAAAAAAGCACCACTTCACCACACGGATGTGTGCAAATGAATGCAAGGTGTTTCTGAAATTGAAATGATTACAGACCGATCACCATATTCCCTCCATTTACAACTTGTGGGAATAAAACTATATCCAACAATTCCTGTGTTGTTTAGAGCGTGTCATACAAGATATCTACTGTTACCTGCTAGTCAGCCACCAAAGATCTGAGACTAGTTCGTTGAAACCTTTCTTATAACCTTCTTCAAGCTGGGTAGAAGAGTTTATTTTTCATTTCATCTTTCAAGCAAGTACGGGTATTGCGCTGACAAACCTTGAAACATAATCGTGGCGAACCCAGGATGTGAACCCAAAATCTGGAGTGTCCAAGGGAGGCAACTGTGCACAGAGAATTGTGGCACCTCAGACAAATAGACCAACCATGCCTTCTACAAACCAATAAGAAAACTGATTCTAATGTACCTTTGGCCACATTCTTGCGAATCAAAGCTTGAAGAGACTGTTCCAAGGCCACAGCTAGGTCCCCTGAGAATCTGACACTCTTAATGGCATAGTGCATGCATAAAGTTGGGATCTTGTGAAAAAAATATGACTTGAAACTTTGTTAAAAAGTGCTTAAAAATGAAAAATATATTAGGGCAGGGGCAGAAAGGTTATGAAGTACACAACATTAATGTAACAAGGCTAACTACACTAATCAAAGATGGACACTGATAGCTTCATCAATGATTCACATACCCCTGGGCCTGCCAGCTGAACCGGCAGTGTACCAAAACATCCATTGATCCACCATGTCTCATGGCAGATGAAATCGTGTTGGGATTGTGCATAATGCCAGACTTGAAAGGACAAGAATCACGAGGAAGGTTTTGACTAACTGTAACATTTAGGAAAAAAAGTTTTCAGAAGTCGTTAGAAATAGACTTTGCTCTTTGCATCACTGGCATGATTTGGACTTACAACACCAAATTTAAAGGGGCTGCTATAGTGTGTCTAAAGGGCTCATCTTCCAGGTTTTCAGGAAGCATTTTTCTCATATTTGAGTCAGAACAAGTTTTGAGAGTTAAAAACAAGGTGTTAGTGTTGTTCATTGCTAGATTTTCACTTTAAAAAAAACAGCCTTTTTCACTTGTTTTAGCCATACTGATGTTCTGGATGATCTCAGTTCAACATTTTTAAGGTATACAAAGAGGAAAAGCTAGGTGTTAATCATATGAACATACCTGAACACTTTCATTAAATCTTCAAGATTTATGTAGCCATAAAATTTGATTATTCCAGTGGTCTCCCCCGAACACAGTATCGTACTATCCTTTGACCAGAAATGTTCTCCTACAGTCACTGCATAACATTCTACAGATGAAGGACACCAACTGTCCCTGTAACACTGTCTGACTTATCACAGTAGTGAAATCTACGCCCTGTGTAACCCTATCTGTTTGTGGTTACATCGACATTAATTGTCCATGCACACGACTAAACAATGACTCGCTGATCCAAATGGTAAAATCTACACCCTGTGTTACCCTATCTGTTTGTGGTTACATCGACATTACTTGGCCATGCACACGTCTAAACAATGACTTGCTGATCAAAATGGTAAAATCTACACCCTGTGTTACCCTATCTGGTAGTGATTTAAGTTATGTTCACGATAAGGAATGACTATAACACTTCATCCGTATTACAGTTATCTCACAGCAATAGTATGGTGCTGACAAACCAACTATCATAATCTGGAATTCAACAAGCATTTATGCCTCATTATAATGAAACTCTAAGAAGCATTGATATACGATTAGTTTAATTAGTTGCACTGCAATAGTAAAGAAATGCGTCAAATTCACATGTCAAGAAAAATAACCGTGTAGGTCGTAGACATTTCCTTGTGTGGAACCACGGACTTGTATAAATACCTGTCAAACCTACCAGTACAGGTACTAACACACCAAGGATCATAATCAGGATTAAAATGGGATTTGAACCAACAACCAGCAGATCCAGGCACTAAGGGACACAACTCTGCACAGCAAATTGTGGCACCCTCAACTACAGGTTCACTTATGTGCCCAAACGTCCAATGAAGGAATTTTCTATTTTATTTAAATCTTCTAAAATATGTTACAGCAACACCAATTCCATATATATTCTGACAAAAATTACTTTCTTTGTTGTGGCCCGTCAGAAGTTGATGCAAATACCTCCTTGTAGATGCTAGGAAAAGGGATGGCCAATACAAACTTCTAAGTCCACGTGAAATATTAGCTAAACATATTCTGGTTCTAACAACCTAATCTATTCTTAATAAAATAATGGATCATATATTCCATGAACATTTCTCTATCAAATATATAGTTTCAGTCGAACACATTTTCTCCTCATGCTTTTTTCAGCTATATACAGTTGTTTTAATATTTTCAAAAAATAGGCTGACAAACTGACTAAATCGCCACTGAATGTGTTTTCAGGTGATCATAGCAATAAGCATATACACTTGCACAGATGTTGTACAGCTACATAATTCTATTTGAAAACAAAACAAGCACAAAGTGTTCAACTAAAGGGATTACTTCAGTGTATGAAGCCCGATTCAACGTGGAACAATAAAATGAAATATCGTATTCGACCCAATAAGCGCCCAGGGCGCTTAAAATAAAGACAGAAGGGGTGGGCGCTTATTGGGACCAATTCAGAGTCAAATTGGCTTAAATGCATCAGTAAGCCTATCCATATTCTTCTGTTGCTGGGGGGCTAGAGATAACTGTTACTTACGTTTTACTGGTGAACATCTCCTCATTAACCGACTACAAAAGATTCTTGACCATATGTAAAAAACAGGTGAGTAAATCTTACTTGGTCATCCGGGAACAGGGGGGGGGGGGGTGGCTTATTGGGACATGGGCGCTTATTGGGTTGAATACGGTAGATGTATCAAGCATATGCAACAACATCTTGAATTAGCACAATATACTTTAAACAAAGCAATGCTTCTGTGTGGAAACCTTGAAAGCTGAAAGACATTTGTGGATGGTCATCTCTTGACTGTTAAGTGGTGTTTTAAATGATGCCTACATAATGCCTACATAATGCATACACTACACCCCTGGCAAGAGCTGTGGAGACATTCATGGACAAGAAGCAAGCTTTATCTACACCAAACACTACTCAATTCTGGGCACTTGAGACCTGATCAACCTCAGAACTGCATTGTGCATTAACGTCATTAACAAATAGCATTAAATATTTTATTTTCACTATAAAGATCAAACTGTCATGAGTTTTTTTTAGATAAAATTATTTCAAAGCATATGTTTTTTTTAAGTCTTAGGCAAAGCCTTTCCGAAACTTAGTTCATGGATCAACCAACTTACTCTGCAAGATAAATGAGACCTGTTTAACACTGCAAACAGGGGAACATATTCAGAAATGTTTGGGCACAATAACTAATACTTAAAAATGTGTCTTTAATTATTTTCCAACCTACAAACCAACATTTTTTTAAAAAGACTGTAAACACAGAAAATATTATTACAATGAAGACTTTGTTACCATGGTTACTCACACCAGCAAGACAAATCTAACTTATTCAACAATGTCTTTCGAATCGTTCAACATATTCAATCAAAATCAGGAAGGTATAACATTCAGATGCCAAATTATTTCCTTCATAGCATAATAAGTGAAAATTTCAAAATTCAAAGGCACTTATAGTAAACTGTGTACATACTAACACTCTCACACCAAGCACTGAAATATCCACATTGCAAATAATAACCTTTGATCAAAGTTCAAGAAATATATTATCATGACTAACTTTGTACACAATAAGTGACAGGAGAGGTCAAGGCCAGAGCCTTGAGCAAATCACCAATGGTAGCCACTCCTCTTACAAATTTGAACCATGTCCTTATGGACACCCCATCATTGGAGAATACACAAGATGTGATACTTCATATAACATACTACTCAAGTAGTATGGGATATGATAGGGATATCATCATTGTCCAAGTGGGAACGGAATTGGACTGAATGCTTCAAGATGTTGTCATGAGAATAGTATTCCATTTATTCATGAAGCTGGCAAATATTCTGCTTCAGATATATGAACACATGATTTAGAGTTTCATAACAGCAGGTTCTGCATGCAATGCAGTGTACCTTGCATCCAAAACACAAGCATCTTTGCAATGTTTATTAAGTTTCAGCTGTACAAATATACATGTACTTCAGAGTTAAGGGGCTGAAGGCAGAGCTGTCCCCTGCAGATATACGTCTTGTTCCGGTATCCTGCTGCATCTCTGGCATCTGGCTGCTGTATCATAACAATATTCATAAATGAAAAAAATAAAAATGCAAATGCAATCAAAATACCATAATAGGATGCAGGTTGCTCCATCAACACTCCAAGTACCATATTCGCAGTAATAAGCACCCGTGGCGCTGCAAACATTATGAGGATTATTGACAACGAGGTGTGCCTTGTAAATACTTGTAGTGACTATTCAATTACACACCCCTCTTTAAATGTGTTCTAAGCTGCTGTGTTTTCTGTAAAAACATCTGTAACACACACAAGAAAGTACTGACTGTTTCCTACATGTTTAAATGTACAGGGCGCTTATGAAGATTATTTTGAGGCTGGTCTAGAAGTTGGTCGGGGGCACTTACTGGAGTGTGGCACTAATACAACAAATATGGTAACTGAAAAAACCTTACGTTCTCATTTAGCCTTCCCAAAGGGCACCTTTACACTTGTTTCTTAGATTCTTTCACTCAAATATGTCTCTAAATTGCTTCTGATTGTCTTAAAGCTAATTTTGTTTTTTAAATGCATTTTGAATTAACACAAGGACTACGTTTTTGTCATGAATTAGAAAAGGAATTCAACATATTTTGTTCGGTAGGCAGAGAAAGAGATTAATTACTAAAAACCCAGCTGGTGGCCATTAGCAAACCCATATATTCTGATATAGCCTTTAAGATGGCCAGTACTACAGGTAATTTCAATGAACGTCTCCAAGAAACTTCCATTATCGATTTGACCAGTAAAATATAAACAAAAATATAATCATTTATTACAGGCTGAGGGTGGTTTGGGGAAATTCAAACATCAATAAGTAGTTAAACATTTACAATTTTCTGGATCTTTTACAGACATCATAATTACAAAAGAATTACTTCTTGACAATAACAATGAAACTAGCACCGACATCCAGGCCTAAAGTAGTTCTAGCACTAGGATCAGTCTTGATCTGACTGTGGGCTGACTACAACACAAATACCGGTATGCGAGCATGGTCAGTAGATGCTAATACATGTATATACAAGCATAGTGCACAGAGGTTACTCCTGAGAAATAGGTTATGGTGATTTCATAATATGTCTAGCGAGACATCATACAATGATGCCTTCTCATTCTGCTGGCAGCACTTCTCAGCAAGCTTATCACACCATTTCACATTTAATCGGCAATTTTCTTACCATCTTGCTAATAATTACACACACACCCTTCCCAAAGAATAATTGGAGCTTGCTGCACCTCTCTTGGCCCTATGGCCAATTGTTGTATAGAGAGAATAGTGATATAATAGTCATAATAATAGCCTATTCTTCAACACAGGCTTACAACAGTCATAAGTCCTACACCTTGACACAGACTTAAAACAATCAGAACTGCTATGCTTCAACACAGACTTATGACAGTCAAATATTACTTGTGAAAATATGTCTTGACATTTCAACATATCACAAATCATCATAAACTGTTGACTGAAGATGTCCCCACAGAATTAAGATTTTTTCACAACAAGACTAGGCCTCCATGAAGAAAGCCTCATATTTACAAACAAGAATAATCAAGAAGCATGGAAACCGGGGCTCGATTTAAGGAACTTGACATAACTGCACCATGTGCAGTTTATTTGGTTTATCACAATTGATACATAGCCCCGTCTGCTGCTAGTGTCACATAAATTAATGCCACATTGCTGTAAAACGTAACTTGCACATAATCTTGAAGCCTAAGAAAGCATGTTACACACAACACAGGGATTGGTGATGCAGTTTGGTAACTTGAATTTATTGGTGTGTGTTCAAAGATCCATTTGTGTGGCCAAGTAAGGGTTAGTCAGACACACATTTGAAATCTTTTTACATGCATTTGCAGACAAAAATATCTGGAAGCATTTTTCAATAATAGGTCTATTATAGCTAAATCGAGCCCTGGTAACTGTTAACCATAAAATAACAACACACTGAAAGCAACCAAAGTTTGGAATCAAAATATTCATACATATAGAAATTATGATAATTGGTGTTATGAATGGAAAATACTGGTGAGAAAATTGCTAATCGATGTAAACAGGGAGACAGCATCATCTATAAGTTGCATCAGAACTGTACACTCCATTGCTTGATGTTGGAGTCCTGCCCCGCGCTCACAAAAGTGTTGTTGTCCAACCACCGGATCTTGTTGGCGAAGCTCTTCTGGTGAGCATCTGGTGGGATAAAATCGTCGGTGAGTGAGTGAGAAGTGTTTTATGCTGCTTTTACAATACTACACCAAAATAAAAGCAGGGGACACCAGAATAGAACTCAAGCCTCAGGGATGACAAACAAATGCCCCTGTAGGCTCGTCTTGCCGGCGCCATTTCAAGTATCCCTCGTAATCACCAGATGCTAATTAGCGTTAACGGCCCAATGGGCTTCGGAACAACAATCAAGGACCTCGTTGACAGTAATGGGGTGAATCATTGAATTTGATTGGATGATGTTTACGAAAACCTTTCATCTTGCAAATTTGTCTGCGTGTGTACATGTGTATGTCCAATTATGTAGTTTTGTATACAGCAAAACTGTGTATGTATTATTTTTTCAACAATGAAGTTAAGTTCATATACTCAAAACAACATTGAGAATTTGAGAATAAAACACATGAGAAGGTCAAGGCTGGTTTGTAAGTCTAGTCCAAGCCAAGTACATACAGTAACCATAGTAACATACCTTTAACTGTAGCTACTCTATTCTGCAACGACTTCACCGGAATCCATACTGCAATGCCGCTGTCAATAGAGCAGGTTGCTAAGTGACTCGAGTCAGGTGACCAGTCTACGTCACAAACACGGGCAGCATGAGCCACAGAGCTAAACAATTCCTGCAACATTGAAACAATTCCTGCAACATTGAAACAATTCCTGCAACATTGAAACAATTCCTGCAACATTGAAACAATTCCTGCAACATTGAAACAATTAAGTGCAAGATTTTCAATCATCTTACAAGAAAGCAATCTTGTCAAATTTCCAGGCATAACTTTGGAAACAGTCTTTTTTGGTGAGGTTCAAATATTTCATTTGTTTGCTTGTTGTTTAACGCCGTACTTAGCAATTTTCAAGCAATATGATGGCAGTCTGTAAATAATCGTGTCTGGAACAGACATTCCAGTGACGGACATCATGAGCATCGATTCACGCTATTGGATACAATGACATGTATCAACCAAGTCAGCGAGCCTGTCCATCCGATCCCGTTACAACAACAATAGTCGCCTTTAACGGCAAGCATGGGTTGCTGAAGACCTATTCTTCCCCGGATACAGATCTAGGTTGAAATAAAACAAGATATTGGAGCATTTTAATATTTTTCATTAGATTTTAACATGTTTAACAACAAAGTAAGAGCTAGCTCGTTATCATATGACGTAAAGAAATTGCCAGCTCTCATCAAGAAATATGAGGGCATTATCAAGTTACAGTGGCCAGCTCATTTTTGATAACATGCGGGCGGTTTAATGATAATTCTATCCATTTTAGCTATAATGTGAAATATCAGGTCACTGCCCAAACAGCATGTCCATGTTAAACTGGCTTGTTTGTTGTCTATAGCCGCACTCAAATGACGGCAGCCTGAAAATTAAGTGTGGACCAGACAATCCAGTGATTGATATAGCAAGCAATGATCCACATCATTGTGGCACGAGGATGTGCAATCAACCAGGCTCAATGAAGTGACCTCAGGCTCCACAAACCTCTTCTTACAAGCACCACGTGTTGCTGGGAATCTATTCTAACCACAAATCACGACAGGAATAAAGTGGCCATCAGTAATAATCCGATGGGCCAGTCACTTATTACCTAACGTTTTTAAAGCCTTGCCATGTCAGCAAATTTGTTCAGAGTTACCTGCCCTTGCAATGTCCATAAATATGGAGTAAGTGAGTTGGGTTTAACGCCGCTTTCAACAGTATTCGAGTTAAATCACGGCGTGTCAGCTTAATGTGGGAGGAAAGCCCGAAGTGATGCAGATCTCAGACGTTTACCACTTCGTAGAAATCACGAGCACGGGTGTGGTGCTGACAAACCTAGAAACATAATCGGGGCAATCCGGGATTCGAACACACAATCATAGGTTTCTGGCGAGCCCAAGGGACGCAACTCTGCACAGTGAATTGCGGGACCTTAGACGACTGGGCCACCTATGCCCCTAAGTTTTGAGGAAAGTATTACTTGTTAGATCAAGTATTGAGTGACACAGCTGTGGACAGTGTTCATAAACTGATGATATGTCAACTCGTTTTTGAAGGAAAGCAAAGTGACATTGACGTCTACATTTAGTACTTGGGGAAACCCATATGCCCAGGAATGTTACTGATATATTTTTAATTTAATGTGAATATTAGTGGATCTTGACATGGCTAAGGGGCACAACTCTTCATTCCACCCCTTTTTGACCCCATAAAAAACAAGACAGAAACATCTCTCTCTTTCAGCCTCGTTGGCTTCGCTCATGATGGAGCTCCAGAGATAAAGATTACTTGATCAACACAACACACACTCACCTCATAAGTGTCAACACTGTAGCCCATGACCCTCTTGTTCGACCCTACAACGGCAAGGATGGCGCCATCTGGCGAGTACCGGACGCTATTCACTGTACACTCAGGAATTGAGATCCTCTTCACCTCAGACAGAGTACCATTACTGAGTTGGTACACCACAAACACATCACTCTGAAAATAAAATAAAGTCATGGGTGGTCTTAGATAATGTTTTCCTCATATAAGTAGTATTCCCTAGTTTTCAGGCATAAACTTTCACATCTGTGTTTATCTCATGAGAATAACTTTGTGTTGAGGGTGAGAGATGGGGGAGGGGAGGAAGGGTGGGTGGGTTTGGGTGAGGGTAGGAGGATGGGGGATTGTGAGGATGGGTGGGGTGGGGATTAGGGGGTAGGCATGGGGAGGAGAGGGTGGGGTGGGGAGGAGGGGTGGTATTGAAAGGTGGGTGTGGAATGCGATGAGGGTGTGGAATGAGATGAGGGGTTGGGATGGGCAGGGGGGATGTGATGGGGATGAGGGTGTGGAATGAGATGATGGGTTGAGATGGGGAGGGAGATGGGATGGGGGGATGGGATGGGGAGGAGGGGTGGGATGGAAAGGAGGTTGTGGAATGAGATGAGGGGTTGGGATGGGCAGGGGGGTTGGGATGGGGATGAGAGTGTGGAATAAGATGAGGGGTTGGGAGTTTGGGAGAGGGGGTGGGATGGGGATGAGAGTGTGGAATGAGATGAGGGGTCGGGATGGGCAGGGGGGATGTGATGTGCACTCAATACATTGATGCTGCTGTGACTTACCCCTCCAACTGCTACTTGTGACATGCCTGGATGTATGTCCACACACTGAGGATCAAACTTAGCAGGAATCGCAGACAGCTTGTGATTTCCCTCCAACACCATCACCTACAACACAGACAGTCAGACATCAGACATTAACTGGGTAATGGCAATTTAATTTGCATATTGTACACAAACCTGGTTTTGTATTTTGTATTTTACCCTGGTCCACAGACAGAGAGTGTGATAGGTTCATTTACCAAGTCGACAAAAGGACTGCATGTGTGTTGCCACACTTAGCAATATTCCAGCAGCCTGTAAATAATCAAGCCTGGACCAATACATTGACCGACATTGTGAGCAATGATCCCCGTCATTGGAGTTGTGATGACACACCATCACCGAGCCTGCCCACCCAATCCTGTTAGTCTTTTATGATCAGCTTAGGTAGCTGGGGACCTATTCTAACGGAGAATCCCCTCGGGACACTAGCACTGCAAGAGCATATTGTAGTATCAGTGTATCCTAATGAAGTCTCACAACAACTATCATCAAACCATTTTCACAAGTATCAGTGATAGGCAAAGTTTTCAAAGCTGCTACAAATGAATCGTCAATGTGTGTATACTCACATGGTTAATGCAAGCCACAACCGACATTCCTTGTTTCCTGCTGACGCTCTTCGGTTGGGAGTCCAGCTTATTGCTGTTCAAACTGAAACAACAATCAAACTATAAGGCTTTTTTTGTTTTTGATTTTTTTTCCCTTTTTTATTCATTTCAGAAGGATGTTGCAGTTCATGCTGTTCAGACATATGTTTTTACGTACACTGCCAGGGTTGTTTGTTCAGACATATGTTGTTAACTACATTGCAAGGGTTTGTTTGTTCAGACATATGGTGTTACCTACATTGTCAGGGTTTGTTTGTTCAGACATATGTTTTTACCTACATTGCCAGGGTTTGTTTGTTCAGACATATGTTTTTACCTACATTGTCAGGGTTTGTTTGGTCAGACATATGTTGTTACCTACATTGTCAGGGTTTGTTCAGACATGTTGTTACCTACATTGTCAGGGTTTGTTTGTTCAGACATATGTTTTTACCTACATTGCCAGGGTTTGTTTGTTCAGACATGTTGTTACCTACATTGTCAGGGTTTGTTCAGACATGTTGTTACCCACATTGTCAGGGTTTGTTCAGACATATGTTGTTACCTACATTGTCAGGGTTTGTTTGTTCAGACATATGTTGTTACCCACATTGTCAGGGTTTGTTTGTTCAGACATATGTTTTTACGTACATTGTCAGGGTTTGTTTGTTCAGATATATGTTGTCACCTACATTGCCAGGGTTTGTTTGTTCAGACATATGTTGTTACCTACATTGTCAGGATTTGTTTGGTCAGACATATGTTGTTACCTACATTGTCAGGGTTTGTTTGTTCAGACATATGTTGTTACCTACATTGTCAGGGTTTGTTTGGTCAGACATATGTTGTTACCTACATTGTCAGGGTTTGTTTGTTCAGACATATGTTTTTACGTACATTGTCAGGGTTTGTTTGTTCAGACATATGTTGTTACCTACATTGTCAGGGTTTGTTTGTTCAGACATATGTTGTTACCTACATTGTCAGGGTTTGTTTGTTCAGACATATGGTGTTACCTACATTGTCAGGGTTTGTTTGTTCAGACATATGGTGTTACCTACATTGTCAGGGTTTGTTTGTTCAGACATGTTGTTACCTACATTGTCAGGGTTTGTTTGTTCAGACATATGGTGTTACCTATATTGTCAGGGTTTGTTTGTTCAGACATGTTGTTACCTACATTGTCAGGGTTTGTTTGTTCAGACATATGGTGTTACCTATATTGTCAGGGTTTGTTTGTTTCTTTGCTATGTTCTTTGTTGAACGCCGTACTCACACATATTCCAGCTATTTGTCGAGATCGGTAAATAAACAAGTCTGGATCAGACAATCCAGTGATTGACATCATGAGCATGTGTGTGTGTTTGTGTGTGTGTGTGTGTGTTGTGTTGTGTGTGTTGTGTGTGTGTTGTGTGTTTTGTGTGTTGTGTGTTTGTGTGTCGAGTGTTTTGTGTGTTGTGTGTTTGTGTGTTTGTGTGTTGCCCTGTATATGTACGTCCTTGACAAGATAAGTAAATCAGATATTTTCATGAAATTGTGTGCCCAGTCTCCACCACAAAAGAATATCCCCAAAATATGGATGATCCCTTAATGTTCTTGTTCAGAAGTCAACAATCAGGCTAACTGAGAGGTGTGTACAGTACAGGTGAGAGAATGCTTACTGGTCGAAGGAATATCATATCATAAGAACCATCAGCCCATGAATTTACTGGTTTCAAGCCATATTTCTCAGGTCAATATTCAGTTTATACCTGAGATTGGAGACACTGTTCTACCAAACTTACCTATATTCATTACTGATTGCGCTGGTGTCCCTCAGTGTGTCGTCGAAGCCAACAGTTGTGAATGTGTCCTCGTCCATCGACATGTCCTGCACCTGGGAGGAATGACCTTTACCTTTCATCTCTTCCGACTCACCGGAGGACACGTTCCAGTAATGTGACCATGTTAAGGAAAGTCTCTACATCACTCCTACCCAGAGTTACATGCGTCTACCTCTTCCACAGGCCAGCACCATGTGACGATTTGTCACATCTTACACAGTCCATTCAAGATACAGTTAACATGTTTATAACAAACACATATATAACGAACTAACCGATAAAACGAACTTATTTTTCAGTCCCGACCATTTGTTGTATATATGCTGTATGTATGCTTATAACAAACTACAGTTATTACGAATTAAACTTAGTGGTCCCTTCAGGTTCGTTATAACCGTAGTTTACTGTGTTGCATATGTTTTTCATCTGTTTCATTTTTGACGTGTCTACACATTTAGATAAACATATGTCATGGAATGGTTAACTTTCATTGCGAAAATATCCTAAAACGTGAAAAACTATTTCCATGTGTGTAGTTTGTTTACATTGGTTGTACGGCACCATGTGCTGTCATCGAAGCCCTACAGAGAGCTTGCAATACTTTAATGTATTAAATTTCTGGTCATGCACCTCACTGTCGCAGCTTTAATGACATATCTATACAATAATGCAAAACAATACATAAAGCGCAACTAAAGACTGTATTAGGCCAGTCGGTTCCTCCTTCAGAATAAGCGTGTTTGTTTACAAGAGAAAAGTCCAGTCACGTGACATGCAAATTAGCCTGTATCAGTGATGTAATGCAAAGTCCCCACCCTGCTGTAGTGTCTTCTCTATGAACTCATTGCTGACTTCACCAAGTAACATCCTGCACATGGAAGATGAGCAAAAAGCAGATGCCAACCCAAAAGTGTAATTCCAAAAATGTAAATAGTACCATGGTGCAGGTTTCGCTTCAACGTTTTCGTTAAACCTAGACACATGTGAATCATGGTTTGATGCTAGCCGCACAGGACAGTGTCACTATTTGAAAAAGTTTGAATGGTTTAATATGCCTAAACATGCTAAACATTAAAACAAATTGATCATCAACATCAACACAAAAGTACTTGGAAATAGAAGTTCCATAACCAGGTGCAACAACCTTAGTGGTGTTTCTAGAAATATCGTTGTACATGCAATTAGTTCCCTGTCGAATGCTTCACTTTATTAGTACATTAACAATTTGATCTCCATATTTTAAGCGTGTTAATAATTCATGAAAAAAAGTGCAAAACATTTGGGGAGAACAAGCAAACTTGCATAATTTTAGGCTCAAAAGTGTAATTATCACACTAGAAGGATAATTGTTGGCATCTCTGAACAATTATTGTCACTCGCCTGGATATATTCAGCTACCTAGTTTCTAATTGTAAGGATATTAATAGCTGCCTCGCTGGTACCCGTGTATATCCTGGATCTGTCTGTCGTGACAGCAAGCGCTGTGATTGGCTTGTTGTGGCCCTGAAATATTTAATGACAATGTTTACTAAAACATATTGGTTACATAGCTTTGAACAATATTTCAGTTACCTCATACCCAGCTCAAATTGGGAGGAAACCTGATGTCATACAAGCATTATACATTTAATAATTGGCATACACTAGCATGGTGTTGACTTGGCCACACCAGCTCAGAAAAAAAACCAGACACTGCAACACTTGGCCACACCGGCCAAGACAAACCATCAGACACAACAACACTTGGCCACAGCGACCCAGACAAACCAATAGACACAGCAACACTTGGCCACACAGACCCAGACAAACCACCAGACACAGCACAGCAACACTTGGCCACACCGGCCCAGACGAACCACCAGACACAGCACAGCAACACTTGGCCACACAGACCCTGACACACCAGCAGACACAGCACAGCAACACTTGGCCACACCGGCTCAGACAAACCACCAGACACAGCACAGCAACACTTGGCCACACAGACCCAGACAAACCACCAGACACAGCACAGCAACACTTGGCCACACAGACCCAGACAAACCACCAGACACAGCACAGCAACACTTGGCCACACAGACCCAGACAAACCACCAGACACAGCACAGCAACACTTGGCCACACAGACCCAGACAAACCACCAGACACAGCACAGCAACACTTGGCCACACAGACCCAGACAAACCACCAGACACAGCACAGCAACACTTGGCCACAGCGACCCTGACAAACCACCAGACACAGCACAGCAACACTTGGCCACAGCAACACTTGGCCACACAGACCCAGACGAACCACCAGACACAGCACAGCAACACTTGGCCACACAGACCCAGACAAACCACCAGACACAGCACAGCAACACTTGGCCACACAGACCCAGACAAACCACCAGACACAGCACAGCAACACTTGGCCACAGCGACCCTGACAAACCACCAGACACAGCACAGCAACACTTGGCCACAGCGACCCTGACAAACCACCAGACACAGCACAGCAACACTTGGCCACAGCAACACTTGGCCACAGCAACACTTGGCCACACCGGCCCAGACAAACCACCAGACACAGCACAGCAACACTTGGCCACACCGGCCCAGACAAACCACCAGACACAGCACAGCAACACTTGGCCACACAGACCCAGACAAACCACCAGACACAGCACAGCAACACTTGGCCACACAGACCCTGACAAACCACCAGCAGACACAGCACAGCAACACTTGGCCACACCGGCCCAGACAAACCACCAGACACTGCACAGCAACACTTGGCCACACAGACCCAGACAAACCACCAGACACAGCAAGACTTGGCCACACAGACCCAGACGAACCACCAGACACAGCACAGCAACACTTGGCCACACAGACCCAGACAAACCACCAGACACAGCACAGCAACACTTGGCCACACAGACCCAGACAAACCACCAGACACAGCACAGCAACACTTGGCCACACAGACCCAGACAAACCACCAGACACAGCACAGCAACACTTGGCCACAGCGACCCTGACAAACCACCAGACACAGCACAGCAACACTTGGCCACAGCAACACTTGGCCACACAGACCCAGACGAACCACCAGACACAGCACAGCAACACTTGGCCACACAGACCCTGACCCACCAGCAGACACAGCACAGCAACACTTGGCCACACAGACCCTGACCCACCAGCAGACACAGCACAGCAACACTTGGCCACACAGACCCAGACAAACCACCAGACACAGCACAGCAACACTTGGCCACAGCAACACTTGGCCACACAGACCCAGACAAACCACCAGACACAGCACAGCAACACTTGGCCACACCGGCCCAGACGAACCACCAGACACAGCACAGCAACACTTGGCCACAGCGACCCGGACAAACCAATAGACACAGCAACACTTGGCCACACAGACCCAGACAAACCACCAGACACAGCACAGCAACACTTGGCCACAGCGACCCGGACAAACCAATAGACACAGCAAGACTTGGCCACACAGACCCAGACGAACCACCAGACACAGCACCTCAACACTTGGCCACAGCGACCCTGACAAACCACCAGACACAGCACAGCAACACTTGGCCACACAGACCCAGACAAACCACCAGACACAGCACAGCAACACTTGGCCACACAGACCCAGACAAACCACCAGACACAGCACCTCAACACTTGGCCACACAGACCCAGACAAACCACCAGACACAGCACAGCAACACTTGGCCACAGCGACCCTGACAAACCACCAGACACAGCACAGCAACACTTGGCCACACAGACCCAGACAAACCACCAGACACAGCACAGCAACACTTGGCCACACAGACCCTGACCCACCACCAGACACAGCACAGCAACACTTGGCCACACAGACCCAGACAAACCACCAGACACAGCACAGCAACACTTGGCCACAGCAACACTTGGCCACACAGACCCTGACCCACCACCAGACACAGCACAGCAACACTTGGCCACACCGGCCCAGACAAACCACCAGACACAGCACAGCAACACTTGGCCACACAGACCCAGACAAACCACCAGACACAGCACAGCAACACTTGGCCACACAGACCCTGACACACCAGCAGACACAGCACAGCAACACTTGGCCACAGCGACCCTGACAAACCACCAGACACTGCACAGCAACACTTGGCCACAGAGGCCCAGACAAAACACCACACACAGCAACACTTGGCCACAGCGACCCTGACAAACCACCAGACACAGCACAGCAACACTTGGCCACACCGGCCCAGACAAACCACCAGACACAGCACAGCAACACTTGGCCACAGCAACACTTGGCCACACCGGCCCAGACAAACCACCAGACACAGCACAGCAACACTTGGCCACAGCTACACTTGGCCACACAGGCCCAGACAAACCACCAGACACAGCACAGCAACACTTGGCCACACAGACCCAGACAAACCACCAGACACAGCACAGCAACACTTGGCCACACAGACCCTGACCCACCAGCAGACACAGCACAGCAACACTTGGCCACACAGACCCAGACAAACCACCAGACACAGCACAGCAACACTTAGCCACAGCAACACTTGGCCACACAGACCCAGACGAACCACCAGACACAGCACAGCAACACTTGGCCACAGCAACACTTGGCCACACAGACCCAGACGAACCACCAGACACAGCACAGCAACACTTGGCCACAGCAACACTTGGCCACACAGACCCAGACGAACCACCAGACACAGCACAGCAACACTTGGCCACACAGACCCTGACGCACCAGCAGACACAGCATAGCAACACTTGGCCACACCGGCTCAGACAAACCACCAGACACAGCACAGCAACACTTGGCCACACAGACCCTGACCCACCAGCAGACACAGCACAGCAACACTTGGCCACACAGACCCTGACAAACCACCAGCAGACACAGCACAGCAACACTTGGCCACACCGGCCCAGACAAACCACCAGACAATAAGGGTACAAGAATACACAATCAGGGTACAGTGACACACAATCAGTTCCACAATAATTGCTACAGATATGAGGTTCTCACCTTGATAATACGGAGGGGCGTAGTGGGGTTGTCCTTGTCCAAGTAGTTGATGTGTCCAGACAAGGACACGGTCAGAATGTGTGACCCCTGCCACAGACAGCCCACCTGCATGTCTCGGACCTCGGTGCCCATTCGGAACTCACTGATCCAACATAAACAGACCTTACAGACAGACTCATATTTGTACAGTCCCAGACAAATTCTGCAATTCTGCAATCGTGGAAAGATTTGCAGAAAAAGTGACCTACTGCAGAATTGCAGAAGCTTTCTACCATTATCGTATTTTTCTATCAAATTTTGTACTCAAACATTTAACATGCTTTTCAAACATACAAGTTCCAACCCTACAATAAAATGAAATAAATAATTATCACTTTTCACACTCTTGTGGTATTATGACTACATAAAGCTGACATGTTAAACCAAAATCTGAAATTCTATCACAGAGTTTTGATAATTTTACAGCAGAATTTATCTGGGACAGATTGTACACACCAAGAAATAAATTTGATGGCTTCAGGAAACACTAACCAATATGTAAATTCACCAATACATCATTACATACTGGTGAATATGTAAGTGATTGTGTATGGTTTTACGCCACTTTTAGCAATATTCCAGCAATATCACAGCGGGTGACACCAGAAATGGGCTTCACACATTGTACCCATGTCCGGAATCGAGCCCGGGTCTTCATTTTGACGAGTGAACGCTTTAACCACTAGGCTACCTGACCACCCCCAGTGAATACATCAAGTTTAATAAGTAGATTGCAACAAAACAATATGTTTATATAGTTATTTGTAAGTATAGACAATCCATTGATTGACATCATGAGCATCAATCTACGCAATTGGGAAACGATGACATGTATCAACCGAGTCAGCAAGCCCGACCACCAAAATTCTGTTAGTCGCTTCTTATGACAAGCATGCCTGCTGAAAACAGATAGTTATTAGTACGTATTGTGGCTTTGCACAGTAAATGTCACTGCAATGAGTCATTTGGGTGTTAATCATCATGTTTGTTAAATTCGCGCCAGCAATTCTCACTCACGTGACAAGCTGTCTGGAGGGAACATCCCATATCTTGGCGGTTTTGTCTCCTGACACAGTCAGCACTTGACTTCCATCCGGGCTGAAGTCAAGCTGGGAAAGAAGGGAATCAGTGGGCAACATTAATGTGATACCGTATCAACTTGGAGCGGTTCAATCAACATCGTAAATACAGACAGACACTGGTAATACTCCTACAAACACAAGGGAATCATTTATAGCATTATTTTATTTGATTGTTAAACACAGATCTCAATAATATTCCAGCTGCATGACAGTGGTATGGTGTTTGTTTGTTTGTTTAACGCCGCACTCAGCAATATTCCAGCTATATGATGGTGGTCTGTAAATAATCAAGTCTGGACCAGACAATCCAGTGATTGACATTATGAGCATCAATCTACGCAGTTGGAATACGATGACATGCACTAACCAAGTCAGCAAGCCTAACCACCCGATAACGCTAGTCGCCTTTTACTGCAAGCATGGGTTGCTGAAGACCTATTCTATGCTGGATTTTCAAGGGTCGACGGTGGTATGTAATAAGTCAGCCTGGGACAGACAAACCAGTGATTGATATTACAAGCATCGCCCCATACTGTGGGACACCCAATCAACCTAAGGCTGACCATCTGATCCATTGTCATCAGCTCTTGCAACAAGCAAGAGTCATGTGACAGCAAGGGTCATCAGTACCCCCAGCCCCTACAATAGCAAAAGGCACCACATCAGCCCCTGGTTAAAACATGTACCAAGTTTGGATGAAAGTTAATATCCGGAAATGCAACGTGAAACACGGATGACGAGATGAAGACTATATCTCCTGCATTATATGCCGGGGGGAGATAATAAAAATGCCAAACATGGTCTGTCTGACCAGCTGAAACATGCTGCTTACTGCGTAGATGCCGCCTCCGTGGGCTGGAGCACCCAGTTCACCAATCTGCTCCCCAGTCTTGCCATCAAACACATAAGCCTGGAAAACAAAGAGTCATTTCATCATGTCACGAAAGAAAAACTCTTTAGATGTATCACTGTCAAAGTTAGGCGCCGACAACTCATAAAACAATCAGGGTGAGTCTGGGATTGAAACCCATCTTCATCGGTTTCCGGTAGGGCTGAGCATCGCCTGGAATTGTATGAATTGCCCTTCGGTGTGTTAAAGAGCAGAATACTGCCATACCTTGGCTTTTCCCCTCTTGTTGGGAATGATCGATAGTTGAGAAGCTTGGCACTGTTGTAACCATAGCAACGCTTAATCAAGGGAGGTAACAAACTGACAATAGCTAACTGTGTTGCCTGAGATGACAGGGCCAACTGCGTCCCCATGTTGATTAGAAGTTGAAAGTAATCTCTTTCACTTTGAAGTTGTAATTTGCACTGGTATCTTCAGTGTATCAGATACCAAAAAATACCAAACTGAAAACACATAATCTCCAAAACGAGTGACACGAGTTACATTGTAAATGTATGAGCCTTACGACAAGCACAGGTACTGGATCATACTCTGACCTGGCATCCCTACCGTGGACCATAGCAAGGGTTGGTCACACTAGCAATATTGGACCTTGTTGGTCTTTGTTTGTTGATTAACACCACACTCGGCATATGACGTCGGACAGAAGTCCAGAACAGACAATCCAATGATTGACACCATGAGCATCGATCCACGCAATTGGGATACTGTGACATGCATCAAGTCAGCAAGCCTGTCCACCCGATCCCCTTAGTCGCCTCTTACTGCAAGCATGGGTGGCTGAAGACCAGTTCTAACCCTGATCATCATGTGGGCCTATTTCTCGTACCCTTGCATCAGCACCACCTGTGATGAACACATCCCCTGTGGGAGAGAAGCGCACGCAGTTGACAAAGTTGGTGTGGACCTGCAACAGGGGAGAGAAAGGAGCTATATTAATAATAAAAACATAAACCACAGATACGATCACAGTCTAAAATATGGGGAAATGATGGACAAAGTAATAGAAGATTGGTCTGCATCTATGTTGGAGATATGCTTATAAAACACACAGATGAGGTGAAGGTGAGGCGAAATGGGGTTTAACGTCACGTTTAAGATTGTTGAACTTCTATGATGATGTCCATGTACGTCTGTCTGTCCGTGTGCGTGTGTCTGCGTGTGCGTCTGCTTGTACTAGTCTTGACTAATGTAAATGTAAGCATTAAGCATTAAGGACTAATGCAGGATAAATTAAAAACTTGTACTTTTTAGGGTAAAAATATCCTTTATACTTATCCTGACTCATACTAATTGCTCATCTCATCTTACTCCTGTGCTGTGTTCCCAAATACAGAGACAAACATCTCACCCGAACACACCTCAGCCACGCTGACGCACCGGAAGCATGTGACCAAGCCGGTACACAATCACTCTCTCATTTCGCTTACCCTTACAGCCAAAACATGTATACTGGAAGCGGGGATGGCGGGAAGGCCACTTTAGCATTTGAGTATTAATGATATTTTTACCCTAAAAAATACATATTTTCAGTCAGGTTACCAATTCATAACTACCCCATGCTCCCCTGAGTGATTCAGAACATGTGTGATTACGATTGTGTCAAGATTATGACCTTTTCTTAACACAAGAGTCGAAGCTGGAATATAATTCTATGCGCATTTACAAATCTCTGGATTTTCTCCTACTCTCACAAGTACAGAGGTGGTTCCCCACTATAGACTGATGTCCAAGAAGATTAACAAGACGTTTCCATGGGGTTAATTGAACTGATCAGGATCTGAATCATGCATTAGTCTGAGTCAGGATAAGGTAAAATTGTCCCCATTTGGTCAATCAAATCACATTCTTCTTCATGACAAGCATACTCTTTCACAGTTCGACACAGTTAATGCAACCTGCCAATTTAACAATGCCAACTAAGATTGATGAAAGTGCTTACACCGATAGTCTTGGTGTACTTGAAGGGAGGTCCTTCCAGGAATACGACAGTTTGATCCTCAGACGCTGTCACAATCCTGAAGGGGCGTGTCGGCTTGTAGGAGCACGAGTTGGCCTCTTTCGTGTGGCCAGATATTTCTCCCACATTGTTCCCCGAGTCATATGTAATGCATGCTCCGAACCTTGAGGAAATGAATGGGCTTTAACACAGCGATCATCGATACAAACAGATAGATTCGTTTTCATCATGGTCCAACCAAACATGGACAAACCTTTTGCATGAAGATAGCTTCGGTTTAGTGAGTGACAAATATACTGTAAATCTTGATATTAACCCAAGCGTGAATTAAATGCGGTGGTCTTTGTTGGCATTAATGATTCTTCGAATTCATGTCTCCAAAATTTATATCAACAATAAGACAGCCTCACTGCACACTTTGGATAGCGGAAAAACCAACATGAATATTAACACAAACACAGTTTATTGAGCAGCAGTTGTAACAAATACATTACAAAGACATTTAAAGAATAGGAATTACACAATAGGCATCAGGTGAGTTATCACTGCTGGGGTCAAGAGTTCTACCCACTCGTGTCAAACTAGGCATCATTGACCACTCCAATCAGTGAACTGTTGTTGGTTTAATTATTTTATTGTCCTTGAACTTCCTTAATGCCACTCAACACAATACACATATAAACTGGGTGTTGTTTTTAGGAAAACACTGTTTATTATTTTTACGGAGCTTTACACTAATAAGCTGTGCTATTTGCTGTTTGATTGGATTAAGGATAGGATGGATTAAGGTAAGGATATGTATTGTTTGATAGGCACTACTTGGAAGTTGATGGATGACAAGGTAGACGCAATTTTATGGATAACAACTTCTTTGATACTGTAAAAAGTGACGTTTTGGTATAGATCCTTATACCGTTGTCAAGCAAGACTGAATGAGGGACATTGTACAGAATATATAAAGTAGGTGGAGGATTAACAGTAGAGGATTAACAGTAACAACAGTTGCATACATGAGTGGGATAACATGAGTAAGTGTTGACAACAGAAGGATAATACTGTCACAACACGATGTACAGAGAACACATAGGTGGAAGCCAATGGGACATGAAGCCAAGTAAACATCCCGTCCCATCAACACCAGAATCAAAGAGCACAGAACCTCAACCAGTAAATCAGACAGTAAATCAGCCATCTCAGACCATATCAGCAACTGTCCTAATCACAACATCAACTGGGACAACGCCCAAATCCTCTTCAACAACCTCCATGATATCACCAAAAGAAAACTAACAGAAGCAGTTCACATTCACTGCCACAAGCCATCAATCAACAGAGATCAAGGCTATTTCATCCCATCCACCTAATATGAACTCATCAAGCAATAATCACTTATCCTGTTTAATTGGCTTCATGTCCCATTGGCTTCCACCTATGTGTTCTCTGTCCATCGTGTTGTGACAGTATTATCCTCCCTTTGTTATCCATAAAATCGTGTCTACCTTGTAAGGATGTTATCATTCCTCTGGGCATGGGGTCGGGGGAGCCGCATTGATTTTGAGTCCCAATTTTAGCTAGGGGACAGCAGCCGTATTAATTTGGAGACGCATTAATTTCAAGATTTACAGCATTCCTTTGTCACTTTGTCCGGAATTGTTACCATGGTTACGGGGCAAGTGGAATTGTTTTGATGGTCACCATCACACTGTTATAATTCACATTGGGTACTGATAGTTTTTTGGGGTATTCAGTATGTATCCCCCCTGGGTCCACTCTCTCAAACCAGAGAGTAAAAAATGTTTTAAAATAATTTCTGCTTAAAATCATCCTTCAAGTGACTCTGTATCTTCATCTGTTCAAGTGCTGCCATCTGGCACATGCCATACAAGCAAAAAGTGGCACTTGTCTCAGTTGATGTGCATTATTCACTGCAGTGAAGTTCATGTACATACATGACACCTGCATTCAATCGGTAAATATAGATATGTAACAGAAACACTGGAGATAAGAGTACGTAAGCTGAAAAGTCTCCATTGGTTAATTACACAGTGTTCGTCATACTATTGTTTCTCATTCATACTCGTATGCAAGGAACACAAAATCTATTGAGATTAAGCAATGGTTTATGTTGTATATGTTACCCGAATCCACAGTAGCATGGAACGCTATATTATTGCAGTAATCTGAGTCATAATGGCGTATACATACCCGGTACTAACCTATTAAATTTGTCACGCAAAATTTCTTTCTTGTTATTTGTTCAACTTTTATGACACATTATTAAGGATTGATCGATGCTGATTTTCTTCAGCAAATCGGTTAACAAATTATCGCCATTAGTGACTCAAAGGGGGGCAACTCTATATTATTGCAGTATCACTATTTTGTGGTGTGATATGTGTGGATTATGTGCTTTACATCACTTCCTGTTAAGAATCATGCATTATCAGCATGCATATGACCTAGGTTGGTTCAACAGACATCTTCCAAACAAATGTGTTCTTTTCCAGCCAAGTCTGAATGGAGGTAGGGGTAATGCCACTTCAAAAACATTCCAGATACTATTATCAGGAAGTTTATGTTTACTTACGAGTAGCTGTGACATTACATAACAAGTCCTTTATTTGATCAAGCAATGAAATATCAGGCATATATTTGCAAACAGTCAACAGGGGGTGTGCACGAGAGTTTCTGTTACCGCAATAATACAGAGACTGCGATAATATGAAACTGTGTAAGATACATGCTCTTACTTCTCCTTGCCAGCTCCGACTAGGACGATCTTGGAGTTGTCCGGGGCCCAGTCAAGGTCCTTAATCTTGCCCCCAAGGACATGGAACTCATTCTTCAGGATGTGAGTCTTGTTCACGGTGTCCCAAATCCTCACCTTGCCTGTGATGTCTGCAAATAGAACACCGAATAAACTGCAGAACATAGCTACAGAAATCATGTGATAGATTGTTTGGTGTCCAAATTTACTACCCGAGTACCCGACCCCCCGACCCCACCTGGGTACCCACTGTACATCCAGTAGGTCTCAAGAGGTGGGTACAAAATCTCTGATTTGGAACTGAACTGTTTTACCACAGCCCTGGCAAGAACCATTTAGATACACATATAAAACGACCTGATCATGCAAGCACTGAAGTTGACTCAAACACATAAAAGTCAGATGGAACGTGTGTTTATTTTATACTTCAGTGTAAAAGACATTGCAGTGAACATAACACTTGATATTTCACTGCAGTGAACATAACACTTTGACAGAACTAGTGTCATACAAGAGTTATCTCCCCTCAAATTGTTTCCCTTTATCATGTCTAGCCTGTACACAAACTATTGACATCCTCCTTAAAATCACTTCTTGACCTTTGTTATTCTTTCGAAAATGTTTTGCTATAATTGTAATTTTCCTGTTTAACTCGTCAATCAAGACTATTCGTTTTGCAAAGCGCCATGTTTTTCACTTGACCAGCATGTATTCTTTCACTTCCAACAGCGGTCTCCAAGTTTTCAAGAATATTTTCTGTTAAAGTTGATTTTGTATATAATCATGTCTAAATGTATGATAAAGAATTTTCATGACCCCATATATTTTTGGATACTTTTGTTTAGATTTCTAAATTTTGCAAACATAAAACTACTTTTCAAGTAGCAAATACAAGGGTGGTGAACCGTCCCTGTGTAGACGACGGTAGAGAGAAATAAAGTTTCAAGGTTTTTACATTTGTAATGAAATAATTTAGTTTTCCGATAGACAACTACACACAAAGAATAAGATAGGATATTCCATGCGTCTCGTGAAATATCCTGTTTCTCTCATCGTGTGACAGGGGGGGGGGAGATATTTTCACTCGTGTGGGTAGTTGTTCTTACAGGTCGATGGTGTGGGTAGTTGTTCTTACAAGGTTGATGGTGTGGGTGGTTGTTCTTACAAGGTTGATGGTGTAGGTAGTTGTTCTTACAAGGTTGATGGTGTGGGTAGTTGTTCTTACAAGGTTGATGGTGTAGGTAGTTGTTCTTACAAGGTTGATGGTGTGGGTAGTTGTTCTTACAGGTTGTCAAGGGCTATTTTACAATCATTCATTATCATGATCATATAGCTCAACCAAAATATTGATAGCCACAGGCTAACGGGCATGTGGCTATTTTGCACACTCGGGTGCCCCGAGTTAGAGGACAGCGTGACAGAGATTGATGTGATGTGTCATCCTGTGCTGTACGTACCTGCTGATGCGATGTAGAACCCACTGGGGGAGTATTTCGCTACGGTGGTCTCCCTCGCATGTTCAGAGTAGATGTCCACTATGGCTGGGTTCTAGGAGAAATATAGGGTGTGGTCAAGAATCAAGAATGAAAATGGCAGTGAAATTCTACCGTGACTTTGGAAAATACCAAATTGTCAATCAAAGGTTTCAAATCACAACAAGGCAAAAAGTGAGCAGGGCTCACTCATACCCCCGACCTCAACATTTTCCAAGTTCAGAACATAAAAAAAAGGAATATTTTCTTAGAAAATCCAATTCTCAGAATAAAACTTTGCACTGCACCTCTCCTATTGGTAGAGAAAGTCTTCACCAAGTTTGAAAAGAATCTAAGCAGCAGTTTTCAAGTTATAGGTCGCACACAATAATGTCCTTGGAAGTACGGAACCACGGACGGAATTCCTTGATATAACTATATTCCCCTACCCTTTTAGGTCGGGAGTATGATATTCATCAGCATGATTTTGACTAATTACATGTAACACATGCACATTTGGTTCAAAATTCAACATGTTCAATTAAGCATTGTCAAATCTCCAAGTACCATAGATCGTCAGTGAAAACACAATAATAGCTGCCCTCTAACTAGCTCCACCTGCAAGGCCATAACAAGTCATACAGACCCTGAAACAAATATTTCCAATACAGCCCATGCAAGTCTATAATATTTGGCAAGTCTAGATTACTGCAGTACAGTATTTTCTTGAGTATAGTGCAAACTTTTCCCCAAAAAAACGAAGCTGTGTAGAAGGGGGTGCACATTACACACACCATAATGAGTTTTGATGTTTTATTACCCCAATGCAAACACATTATCGTGAGCATGCAACACCAGAAATAGAATGTCAACAAATCCGTACTGGAGTACACAATGTAATCTTGTAATTACACAGTCAGGTTATAAAAAGTGTTCATTGTATATTTGGACTTATGTTTGTAACTTATTTCATTAATATTATTCAAAATTCCTTTCAATGTTGTGTATCTGAAAATGAAGAGAGTCTCTCGGCTCCTTTTTATTATATTTTTATAACTATAATTAAAACAACTGATCTTATCTGATCTTAGTCTAGCACTTCCGCTGTATATTAGGGGTGAAACGATACAGGAATGTCACGATACAATAGGTATCACAATACATAGTTTGTGATACGATACATATTGTGATAAACAAGTTCCTATGATATCGAGTTGAAACTAATTGACAATAAATATTTCAGAGCAGGTTCAAATGGAAAAGTATAGCTGTTGACACATGTTCCTAGAGGCTGTTTTTGGTAGTGAACTTGAAATGCTAATTACAAAATTTTAAAGTAATAGTAATCATATTTTTAGCAAGTGTATTGTCTTGTATCATTACAGTAAAAAATGTATAGTCTTGACGCAAGAAAACACAATGCATCAGTGGACTGATGTATCGTTTCATCCTTACTGTATATGTAGCCGTCTGCCCACTTGTCAAAAGCATAAATAACTTCAAAAGCATAAATAACTTCAAAAGCCTTATCATCTGGTTAACGACCCACAGGAGTTGATGAAGAATGTTCCCACTGTCCCTGTTGGTAATCATAGCCCCTGGACACCATGTCTCCCATCATACCCTGTGGGTATGTTATGGACACTATTAAGGCTACATTAAAAAGCAGATGTTTCTCAGGCTTCGGTGCATCACTTTAACATGTTTAACCTCCTGGATGCCACAGGGACATATATGTCCCTCCCCTACAACCCTCACTTTGAAGTCAAATAAAAATACATCACCCACACAAATACACTTCACAGTTTTGAATAAGGTGGGAAATTCCCTGTTCTGTGATATCATCCACTGGCATTTTAGGCCAAGCAAAAGTACTGAAAATGACCTCTAAAAATGTCGCCATTTTTTAAATCACCAATCATCATAACCAAGACGTCGCCAATAACCCTAGAATTGTTTAAAATCTTTCGGAAAATATGCAAACACGAATGCCAAAGTGAACTTTCCGCCATATTGGATAGTGTTTACAAAATCATGAGACGCCTGTAACATCACATATATTTCAAACTTAGCTGCGATACAAACATCCTTGAATTCCTCATACATTTTAGAATCAAATGACTAACGGTCTTTTGTCACCAATACAAATTACCTGGATGAAATCAAGAAAAATAAGTGAGTGTGGAAACAAACAATGTGCTCGAAAACTGCACTTGTTTGAAATGTAAACAAAGCAAAATTCAAATTTTACACAGCGTAGCATTTTCTCCTATTTTGAGCTATTCATTCGTCTATTCGTTCAAGATATTGGCTCAACCTTTTCAGAATATGCATGGGAAGAGAATGGTAGGAAAAATTAGGGACTTTAAAAAAGATACATTGCAATGATTTGATATTTTCAACAGAAACTGTCTAATAAGCACACCCTTGACGATTTTCTAAGTGCCCAAGGCATTTATTACAGCGTATATGTTACATATCAACAGTATAATCTTAACCTGTCATTAAAATGTATTTCCAAAGTACAGACATTCATACATATTCTTCAAATACGACTCACTTACCTCGATATCACGAATGTAAACATTGGTGCCGTGACAATAGAGGAAGTTCTTTCCCTTGGGATCTTTACCCATAACTATAGGACGACCCCTCTCCGTGCGAGGCAGGGCGGCAAAACAGCTCTCTGAAAAAACAAAAGTACTGAGTAATGCTGGGTTATGGGGAAATCATAACATTTCCATAAACATAGAACTCTGAAAACAATGAAAGTGTTGATAGCCATAGTTTTCCCATCTTCCCAAGGCAAGGGAGTTAACTGACTGTAAAAGTCCAATTTCTGATTTTCACACCCAAGGGTCTTGTATCAGACTAAAACATCTGCTTTAATGCAATTGCTCATCCTTCCATCTTTGGTGTTCCAGTGTATAATATATCCACATTTACAAATACCCTGGATCCATTCACCATTAAGTTTCACTTTGAATTTGATTCGAAGACATGATGCTAAATATAATCATCCAATCAAATGAATGTCTTTTCCAGTGATATCCACAGTACTTGACAAGCTTGGTTTCATCCCATCTTAAATACAACTGGACATGTAACAAATGCTCTTTGTAAAGCACAACTTCTAGTATTTTGGGGGGCTGAGTCCTGTCCGGGATTTGAACCCACGCTCTCAGAATGAGGCACCTGATCCAACCGCACACAAAGTCAGCGACCTAATCCCAAAAAATGAAAGTCTGACAACTGTTAGTCTAGATCACATACTCTGAGAGTGTGATTTCAAAGACCAGATAGGTCTCAACCCAAAAAAGTACTAGATGTTCTACTTTACCAAGAAAGAATTATCCTAAATATAGCTTTTGTTACACTTGACCACTTTCTAAATTGCATATTCATAGCTTTCGGCCATGGGAGCAGTGCCAATTTACACTTGACAGATGGGTACAGAAAGTATATGGTCTAGACAACCAGTTGTCGGACTTTCATTCAGATCTCCAGATAAGCTGCGTATCTGCGTAAAATACGCATCAGAAATGCAGAAATACACAGTAAAATAAAATCCAAGCGTATCAAATATGCAACGAACATTACAGATAAGCTACAAAAATAAAACTTGTGCGTATCATCAAAATATTGTGACGTAACCCTGCGTATTCAATTAGCAAATCAGCAACTTATTTTGAAATTATAAACGGGCATTCCGTCAACCTTGCCAAACTCCACGATGACAGTAACATCACGATCATTTGCCATCACACTTTCTTGTGGAAGTATCGTGGTATTTTATAGTCCTTTAAAGCTCTCGAACCCATATGACACCGGTTTGCAGGGACTAGATGAATAGTGTTTTTAAATATTTAACCATGTTAACTTAAATACCCACATGTGTAAAACCTAGTAACAGAAATTTGAATACCCAGATAGAATTACTGATACCCAATGATTTTAAAATGCATGTGTAAAATACCCACAACACCAAAAGTTTATCTGGAGCTCTGTTCATTTTTGTGGAAGCTTCAGTGGCTGAGTGAGTTAGATAACTGACTTTGTGTGCTGATGATTAGGTGCCTCACTCTGAGAGTCAGTGTGGGTTTGAAAAATGGATGGGACTTGAATTGTACTTTACTGAGAAAGCGTTATCCCAAATATCACATTTGTTACATTTAACCACTTTCTAAATTAGTTAAATTTAACCACATTTCAGCCTCATTCTTCCCCTCCAACATGTGAATCTTGCACTTCATCTTACATCTGATGAGGGGGCACAGAGAAGCCCTGAAATGTTGTGATAAAAACACAAATGGAGTGCGGTATAGTTTATGAATAGGTAAAGCCAGCCTTTGATCAGTAATTATAAGCCTATCACAGTGTTCACCTATATTGCATTAGGTTTCTGACAACCTCTGGCAAACCTAGTATTCATTACCAGTTCATCTTCCAAACCTAGGTTTTGAAATGGGTCACTTCGAAGCCTGCTTTGAGGTTTTACATTTTAATTGAATTACCTAGGTTTTACAATTGACGTTTGTTTAACCGGCCTCTTGATATGAACACAATATTCATTTTTGATTAGTTAAAGGGACAGTTTTTTACATGAAAATGCCATGACATGAATCGAACCTGCAACCTCACATATCATGTTAAGTTTTGTAACGCACAGCTTTCCCACTGACTGACTAAGCCGCTGGGGCAGACAATGAAAACATGTTCAATTTTACATAATTTTTTAATTTGAAGTTTACACGATGTACAGCTTTTCCATTGGACGAGAGGTCGGTCACATGACCGCAAAAATTGTCATTTCCAGTCATACGTTTTTCATGAGATCGTGTTCTTGAAATGACGTAAACTTTGATGGACTACTTCCACCTTCTTAGGGAAACCCCTGGGAATTCCCTACCACGAATACATACAGAAGCGTTCTTCTGAACATTTAGACCCTTTAATCTTGAACTCAGCTTTTCAGTTAGTCTGTCTTACAGACCCTGATACATTTATATCAACTACAGCCCATGCAAGTCTATAATGTTTGGCAAGCCTAGATTACTGCAGTATCATCTGAAAATGAAGAGAATCACTGGGCTCCCTTTTTATTAGATTTTTATTAAGATAACTGAACAACTGTTTTTTTCTGTACGATATGTTCATTTCAGAGACTATATGTTAGTCTACTTTTCAGTATACATTGAGAAATGTCCTTGCTACGACCCCTCCTAATGAACAAACGAAGAAATGCACTTCCAAACTATCGCAGTGTCAACTCGATCCATGTCTAGGCTGACACTGAAAGTCTACAGCAATCTATGAATGTGTCTATTTGACACATCTTTAATCACCTTTCAATGATCAGCCAGGTGATCAATGATGACTAAAACATGTAACCTGCCACAGGTTCATTAACAACTTCCAAACTCGTGTCGGCCATTTTGACATCTTGTACTTGATGAAAATGTATTACGATGGCTCTCACTCTATGAACTCACACAATGTGAAAGTCAATTCTTAAATGTCATGACTCCAGCTGGTCCATATGCTGCACATGTTTTTTCTCTCTCGCCGCTTTGATCGAAGTTCTTTTTTATTCCATGACACGCTGTATTGTTTCACTATATAAGATACCTCGATGTTTTCTTATTTTTTCTTGCATTTAGGGGATAAAAGACACCTCGGTTTTGGTTGAAAAGGTAAAACATTGGTGAAAATGAAGTGACAGGTATGAGAGATGTTCAGTAATGCATGGAAATTATCAAAGTCAGATGTTTCTTGAGTGGTCAATGTAGGAGTCCTCCGCCTATGAAAGGCGAGGCCTATCTAATTAAGAGGATTACCTCTGTACATCATGTAGTAAAGTACACCTGGACACATTTACCCGTGTACAAATAAAGCTTTCAATTTAACATAACGTTTACATTTTGTTTGATACTTGACATTTCGAGTCACAACTTGAGACAGAAAAACTTCAACTTGATTCATGAGTAGGTGTGAAATCTCATGTCAAGAGCAGATAACTCTTTTGTCATTTTACATTTTATTTACCATACTAAAAAATCACAAAGAATATCCAACAGACAATGACATGTAAAACGTTATGATTATTAAATACAAAATGTTACAAGTAAACAAGTGACCTCATTGTCTGACATTGGCCCAACACGGGAGGCTTACCAACATACGGCGCACCTGCATCCTATATTGTTTGAAGTTCCTAAAAATCCACACACTGTCCAATGGTTTATTCGCGTTATGTTTTAGACATTGAATTAAACAATCGTGCCATGAAGACAGCATTATCGTTAAAAGGAAAGGAATTTAAGGATGATAATGGCTGCAGTTCAAATATCAAGTACAACTCGTTTAAAATTCACCGACTGGATGTGCCATGTAGCTAAGGGGAGGCGTGTGATACTCCCAATATTTCTGAAAAAGACAAGCAATGGACATGTTTTCTATGTCATAACAAAGTTCAGCTCTTGTACTCACTCAGAGAAGCGGACATGTTGGTTATTGCTCTATAATCTGACAGCAGATAAATGGTATATCACAAACTTTAACTCTCTTCCGTGTTTTCGACCGGTGTGCTCCCCGGAAGTGAGTCAAAAGCATTCGAACGATGTATGCGCATGCCCATCGTACGGCTTTACCATATATGGTTGTCGTCCAGGTGAGCGCGCCATTTCAGATCAAATATTGTCCGTGTTAGGATATATTTATTTATAATATTGACCACGTTGTTGTGATTGCACACAACTGATGGCAGGTTTCTGTACTGTCCCTGTTTAATCAGTCTGCAAAGGCGATCGTCGTGGAATCCCTTTGTGTTTAAAATTGAAGATTATTCAGCTGAGCTGGAATGAGGTTGTGACGACATAAAAAGTTGTTTGAAATCGTTTAACCGTAAACAAAATATAATGAGATCGGAATTCTAAATGTTCTGTTTGTCAATCGACGTTTGTGGTGTTTCAATATGGATAAGTTTAAAACAACAATAAACAATTTAAGATTGTCAAAATATAACCATACTGTAATAGGGCTGGGTTGGGTAACTCGGGTACTCGTGTCGGGTGGGTACTGAGTAGGACACGGGTACCCACAGGACTACCCGGACCCGTGGTTAGTCACTTGATTATATTGTTTAATGGCAAAAATTACCTAGAACTCTATGGTGACAAACGATCACATTTCTTTCCGACTATGCACACATTCCTTCTGACTTTATATGTTTGCATAAAGTGAGTGAGTGAGTATGGTTTTACGCCGCTTTTAGCAATATTCCAGCAATATCACGGCGGGGTTTGCATAAAGATAAAACTTCAGTCAACTTCAGTGTATACATGACCAGATTATTTTATACGTGTATCTAAATACATTTTGACAGGAGTAGGGTCAAATTTTGTACCTTTCTCTTGAGACCTACAGCGGGTACCCGGGGTGGGGGGTGGGGGGTGGGGGGGTGGGGGGGGGGGGGGGGGGGTACCCGGGTAGTTAATTTAGACTCGTCCCCGCCCTATACTGTAATATACATATATTTATTTCAGTAAATACGTATGTAGGGCCAAGTTACCAGAAACGATTTCTTCAGTTGGTCAATGAGAAAAGGTTTAATTACTTAATCTTAATGGGGTTACACTGTGTTTTAGCTTGACTTAATTATTGTCAAAGGGTAATTTCCTGTATCAAGTTTCAAGAACATCACATCACCTATTATGTAGCTATAAATGGCTCTGACGGATCAACAGAGAGACGGTGTGGGTGACGGGGTAGGAGGAGGGCTCATGCGACAAAATTCCTAGCATATGGGTCAGCACCAATTTGGACTTCAAATTCCAACTCAATTAATTAAGTTGACACACGGTGATATAGCCGAACCACAGTTCAAAGACAGCCAAGCCCAACTCAGTCACTTGAAGAGTTAAATAAACTGCCGGACAAAAGAAAGCATACACTAAAAAAATGGATTTGATAAAAAATTATAAAAGTTAGCAGGGTGAAAACAAATTGAACTCTTTGCCCTCAGATTTTACCTCTGCCTTTGTGAAATGCGCAGATCCAGAAGTGGCGTGTAGATCCGGGTGCGCACCCACCCACCCAACACCTGTTTTTTATATAAATTTATATAAAATCGAACCCGACCATGCCACTGCCGATTACCAGGGTGGGTATAAAATACTCTTATATTCACTTCCCGCCAATATATGTATTGTGAGGGGAATCTGCGTACAATTGCAGTTATAAATTATTATTTTTAATTCGTTTTTTTTAATCATTTTTCTTAATTTACTGGATCATCCCCGATTATCAAGTGTATAATATGTCTATCATATTCGGATATTGATATGGAAATATTCACTGAATAAACGCGGGTGGGGATGAATATACAATCATGTATGTATAAAAAAAATTCTATATGTTTGTTCCTTTTAACAGAACCGAAAACAACATACGCGAATAAAGAAACGAGAACAGGTGTAAAGGAGAGACACTTTCAGTTTCAAATAGTTTTCAGGAAACTCCCATTTTCGCTATTCTACAAACGTCACATATCATGAAGCATTGAATGAAACTGCTAAAAACAGCTTGTTTCCCTTGGTCATCGAGGTCACACTATTTGTGCATGCCAAAACAAACTTCACCTGGGGCTTATATTTTACATGTCACTGGCACATTCCAGTGTCCGCGCCTACTCGCTGTAGCGTGGGCGCAATAATATTCGTGGGGGAAAAGGCAAATAATTACATTTGTGGCGATCAATTAATTAAATTGTTTTTGGTTATTTATTAATGCCGGAAGGGTGGTCGACAGAGGGAAAACAGAAAAACGCAATGGGAAGAGCGGCGTGAAAAAAAATAGAATTTGTGGAAAACGCTTGAAATAATGGACTCATGTGTTCGTAATACAAAATTCCCTTTACGACTCCTCTGTAGGGTTGGGGTGGGTGTGGGCGGGGTTATTATATAGGTGCATCGGTGGGGGTATCATTTTAAGGACCCCCTAATAAATAACTTAAAGACCAGTCTCAAGTTTAATTTAGATGAGATAACCTACATTACGTCACGCAATTCTTAAAACAGAATGGTCTCTATTTATATTGGTTATTGTATTATTGTAAAAAGGCATCACGACATTAAACAAACATGCATCTATATCTGGCAGTGAGACATTGGGATGAAGTAATAGTTGAGGGAGGGTCGCAAGCCATTCCAATATGGCCGTGTCCTTGGTCTTCAGTAGCAGCATCAAAGGAGTTGAAAAACATAAACAAGCAACCAGGATGGCTGACAAATCATTTTATTCACCCTTCGCAACGTCTCAGAGCTGTGTAAAGTGATTGAAATATTATGCCATATATACTACTCAAAAGAAGTTAAAGAACACCTGCTTGTTTTATATTACTATAGATTAACTATAGTAATATGAAAAATTCAGGTGTTCTTTAACTTCTTTGAGTAGTATAGTTTGAATAGTTTGATAGGCATTACTTCGAAGATGACGGATAACAATATAGATCCTTATACCGTTGTCAAGCAAGACAGTATTGCTTGACAACGGTATAAGGATCTATACCGAAAGATCGTCTTTACGGTATAAAGAATATGTTATCCATAAATTGTGTCTACTTTGTAGTATAGATTGATTCGGACGTGATATTGACAGTCCGTGTAATATCTGTTGCCTCTTTACGATATATAAAGACTCCGAGGCCGTGACTTATCGTGCGTGGGTGCGGGCGGGCGGGCCTGCGCGCGTGAGTGTTTGTTGGTTTAAACTGCATCCAGAAATATTCCACCTATATGACTATGCACGCTGTCGGGGTACGTTGTAGGGCTGGGACGGGTGACTCGGGTACTCGGGTCGGGTGGGTACTGAGTAGGACCCGGGTACTAACAGGGCTACCCGGACCCGTGGTTAGTCACGTGATATATTGTTTCATGACAAAAAAAATATCTAAAACTCTATGGTTACACTACAAGTCACTATTGTTCGCATTTCTTTCTGACTATGCACCCATTCCTTCTGACCTTTATAGTTTTGAATAAAGATAAAACTTCAGTCAACTTCAGTGTATGCATGACCAGATCGTTTTATACGTGTATCTAAATACGTTTTACCAGGGCTACGGTCAAACGTTTCCAAATCGGACATTTTACACCCAAGTCTTGAGACATATAGCGGGTATCCGGGTAGGGTCGGGTAATAGCGTGGTGGGTACCGGGGTTGTAAATTTGGACTCGTCCCAGCCTTAGTACGTTTACACGCAGTGAAGAAGTCACCGAAATGACTTACAAACCTTTAAAGCACTAGGCATATATCAATCAAAACAGGCCTACTTGGTCGCATTTAAAAATAAAAGAACAACAAACAAGCTGCCAATAAACCCTAGAATTCTAAACCTATGAAAACACACAAAGTCCTTTTAGTCCCCCACCCCATCCCACAACACCCCCACCCCCACTCCCTCCAGCGCACGTTAAATTAGGAGGTAAGTCACCGAGCAGCAGATTCACCCAGTCGCCTCTTACGACAAGCATTGGTCCAGGGAACCTATTTCAGTCAGTTTTCAAGGAAAGAGTTGTAAAATTGAGAGATACTTAAAGGGTTGTGAATAAATATTTCATTTATGTCTAAGAATTCTATCCTACGACTCTGGTTCTTCTTTAACAATTCGTGTTCGCTATTCAACTGAGTCCAACATTTTACTGTCGTATGATTCATTGAGTCATTTCTTCAGCTCACACCTGTTATTCCACATTTTATTCGTAAAACTCCGGAAAAGAACAAAACCCATTTATTCCATATAAAGCACATGACCCATTTTCATAGTTTAATATAAGCAATATGCGGGTCTTGGATTATGCTAACACGAACATGCATTAAGTGTTTCTTTTCATACTGAATACGAGTATTGTAAGTGGCAGTATTAATGATAATGTGAAATAATAGGTTAATAAGATAAAAGTATATTTAAATATGTGTTTTACAGCTTCTTCAGGTATGTATGTATAATACTGGATAATCGAGAATGATGGTGTGTATAATTATCGTACATTAATTTCGCATCCAGTTCAAATTACGTCAATAGCTTCCGTGATGTAAAAACATCTCTTATACAGATGAGAAATGTAATTAATCTCGTACATCAGTGAAAATAAAACACGATCTATGCGGGTTCCTGTTAAGAATGGTGATGATTCTTTTATTGGATACTTGTCGTTCTTGACTTGATAGTTAACGGAATATTGCCAATATTTGCATATAATGTATATAGACACATACTTAAGTTTCCAACATATTCCACCACTGACTTGATAAAACATACCGCGAATGTAATTTGTATATTTATAAAGTTCACTTCTTTATTTCGAAGCTATTTCCTATACTCTTTCTAAATGGGCCCTACATTTAGTTTACTTCAGCTTAAAAGGGGCCGATAACTCTCATGTCTAACTTCCGTTGTTCATAGGTGGCGCTTCATCATGGAGTCAGAAAACATTTCACTGGCGCGACGTTTGTAAATCGCCAAAAGACGAAATATGCCTCCAGTATGGCAATAGTCAAGAAGTAGGTATACATATGACAATTCCCACGAATATTTTCCAC